CTCTGCTGAGGATGAGGAAACCTTTCACTTTTCCTATTTGTCGGTCACCATTCTTGACCTGATTTGGCTAGAGTACTGGTTGGTCTGTTTGCACGTTTGTATGCCAATTTTCAGTAAATTGTCGTGACCTTTAATCCACATATCATTCGGTTATGGCTTCATCTGTCTACACATCTCTTCCATTTACATATCACTTCAATTTTCATGCTCCTGGAAAATGTTCAGGCATATTGTCGCCACCTTCATCATCCTTGACCCCTCAGTTACAAAGTTGTTATAATTGTTATAATTTGTTATTATTTTTTGTCCAGAGCATAAATTTGCTTGCATTTAAACTAGGATAACAAAACTTGATAATACTAAGGCAATATACAGTGTACCAAATTTAGGGCCTGCAATCCCTTAATTACAGAGTTATTGCCTTTAGTGAAAATTTTGTCTAGAGCACCATTTTGAATTACTTGCATTTAAACTTGGATAATGATACCTTGATCATACTAAGACAATGTGCATTGTACTAAATTCAGGCCTCTTGACCTCAATTACAGAGTTATTGCTCTTTGCTTACATTTAGGATGGAATAATGAAACTTGATGTACATTTTGATCATACGAAGATGTGTAGTGTACCAATATTAGGGTCTTCAACCCCTTAATTATTAAGTTATAGCCCTTTGTTGAAATTTTGTGTCTGGAGCATTGCTTTGCCTGTATTTAAGCTAGGATATTGAAACATGATGTATACGTCAGTCTGACAAAAGCAAGGTTCAGTGTAGCAAAGACAGGGCCTATGACCCCTCAGTACAGAGTTATTGCTCTTTAGTTCTTAAAATTTTGTGTCATGAGCATAGCTTTGCTTGCATTTAAGCTAAAGATCATGAAACTTGTTGTATACATTGGTCATACAAAAAAGAAATTGCAGTATACCAAATTCAGGGCCTGCAAACCTTCATTCACAGATTTATTGCCCTGACAACTAGTCTGTCTATATTATATGTGTTGTGGTTCTGGTTACATTCATAGGAGTCTCACAACTAGGGATGTAGGTCAAGGTTAGGATTATGAAAATACACATCTCAATAAGTTTAGGGAAAAGCTGAGGTGTGATTGTAAAGAGATAAAAAATATTCTTCAAATCTTTACCATGAAGTTATTGCACCTAGCATTCCTGGTTATTTATGATGTCATTACTTCAATGTCAATATCTCTGTTCGGTAAGAGGTTATTTATGATGTCATTGGTTCAATGTCAAGGTCTCTGTTCGGTAAGAGGTTATTTATGATGTCATTGATTCAATGTCAAGGTCTCTGTTCGGTAAGAGGTTATTTATGATGTCATTGGTTCAATGTCAAGGTCTCTGTTCAGTAAGAGGTTATTTATGATGTCATTGATTCAATGTCAGGGTCCCTGTTTGGTAAGAGGTTATTTATGATGTCATTGGTTCAATGTCAAGGTCTCTGTTTGGTAAGAGGTTATTTATGATGTCATTGGTTCAATGTCAACGTCTTGGCAAGGGAATAGTTTGTTTTTATTGTCATTGCTTCAATGTCAAGGTCTCTGCTGGAGAAAAGTTTATTTTTAGTGTTGTTTGTTCAATGACAAGGTCACTGCTGGAGAAAAGTTTATTTTCAGTGTTGTTTGTTCAATGACAAGGTCACTGCTGGAGAAAAGTTTATTTTCAGTGTTGTTTGTTCAATGTCAAGGTCTCTGCTGGAGAAAAGTTTATTTTCAGTGTTGTTTGTTCAATGTCAAGGTCTCTGCTGGAGAAAAGTTTATTTTCAGTGTTGTTTGTTCAATGACAAGGTCACTGCTGGGGAAGAGGTTATTTTTCAGTAATTCATTGTGGGGAAGAGATATTCTTGATATACAGTGAATACATGACAATGCATTTTTGAACATAAAAAAAAAATGTTTTAGTTCTCAGCAACTGGTCCAAGAACAAACTATGAAGACTGTGTTAAGAAAGAATATAAATACTGACTGCTACATGTCCATGAGAATTATGTTGTTAAAAGCCCATTCTTCTATTGCTCAAGGCCAGACATATGTTAGACATTTGTCATAAAAATGACAGAATTTTGAAATATGACCGAGTGTTGTTTAGTCATTTTTCGCTGTCCTGTCTGAAATTCTGAAATGATCGATCGGGGGGAAAAAAAGTACATTTAATGAATTAAATTCCCATGTTACAGTCATTGTCATTTGTTGTTCCACTGTCTTCACATTTCAAACTCTGTGTAGATCTTTTGGACTTACTCGGAAGTAATGTTGTTAAGTCATGTGACCTGAAGGGTCCAGATGACCTCTAGGCATAGTGTTTTGTCTGTTGTCTGCCACGTGTAAACACTCCATTTAAACGACTTCCTCTCAAGAACCAAAAGACTGAGGGTACTGATATTGGACCAGTAGCATGATGGGATAAAGGGCTACCAAGATGTTAATATGATTGACCTAGACCAATTTCCAAGGTCACTGGGGTCAAATGTGTTAAAATCTTTTAAACAAATTCTTCTCAATAACCAATAGGCTCAGGATGCTGATATTGTGCCTGTAGCATGCTGGGAGGAAGGGCTTATGATTGACCTTGACCTACTTTCAAGGTCACAGGGGTCAAATACTGTATAGTATTGTCTTTAAAGATTACCAGTTTTGTTCATGTCCCTTTTTTAAAGATCACAGGGGTCAGATGTGTTCAAATGTTCAAAAGAGTCCTTCTCATTAATGAAAAGTTCCAGGCTATTGATATTGGTTTTTTAACATTGTTGGATGAAGGGCTACCACATTTATTTGAATTATTGACCTTGACCTACTTTGAAGGTCTCTTAGGTCAAATGAGTTGAAATCTTAAGATTTCTTTTTCAACAAGCAAAAGATCATGGTATTTATGTAGTAGAATGTATAAGGAATAGGATTTAAAGTTTGCAGAAAATGTTTTTATGAACCGATAATATCTTCTTTGTAGATTGTAGAGAAGTTGAGCATTTTAGGCCTATTTGGCCTCTTTCATATAAAGGTCTTTATAGTCAGATGACCGTTAAGGCAAATGAGCCTCTTAGTATTTTCAAAGTGTGCTTTTTTTAGCTCAACTGGTTTGAAGGGTCAAGTGAGCTTATGCTGTGGTTATAAGGAGACCATCCTTCCTCTATCCATCCATCTGACTGATGTCAACTTCTCCATTGAAACGACTTGCACACAGCTCAACAAAATTTGTGAAAAGAAATGGCCTTCGCCATATTCAAGGTCACACTAGTCAAATTTGTTAAAACCTTTAAAAGATTTTTCCTGATTATAACCAAAAGGTCATTTTTAGCTCACCTGGCCCAAAGGGGCTTGATATTTGGCTAGTATGTTCCTAGGATGAAGCCAGACAAAGAAATGACCTTGACTTATATTCAAGTTCACAGAGGTCAAATTTATTTAAACCTATAAATAGCCTTTTCTCACGAATTAAAAGCTCTAGAGGTATTTTATTTGGCTGGTTTGTATATATACATCTACCAGTTGAGTGGTGTAGGCCCATTGGGCCTGTTGTTTGAGAGTAGAATGAAATCTTTAGTTTGAAACAGAAAACTGATATAGTAAACTGTAAAATCACATGTATTCTTAATGGATTTTGAAAAAATATTATTTTGTAGACATGCACTAGATTTTATGGATAATTATAGCTTTAAAATGCGTTTTATACCAAATTAGATGAATTCGAAGACGTATGAATTCATAAATGGATTTTAAGCATGAAATCACCTGATTAAATCACCCACAAAAATGAATGATTTCACATAAGAGTAGATCATTGTATATATATTTCCTGACATCCATGAAAATTTCATTCTTTCTTCCTAAGGTTTTGGTAAAACCACAAAAATTTGAACAACTTTATAGTAGCTTGTATAGTCAATGGAGATCACTCTAACACAATCTACAGATTCTGTGTATGTACGCAATACACATCCATAGGTGTCGGTTTCTGGACTTTCAATCAGGGAGATCTCCCTGATTTCACATCTCAGATCAGGGGAAAAGTGTGGGACAGTGAAAGAAATTACTGTCCACTTTGTTGATATGAAAATCACAATAAGCAGTGATTTAGCTTGGTTTATTTTATGCAAGTTATTCATTCATGGTTGCCTTTTCAAACTGAAATAATTTGATACAATAACTATTTGTGTCCTACATTGTACAAAGAGGTTTCTTTCCTTGCAGATGCCAAACCACACTCAGATGGAGATTAGTCCGTGTATTTAGTGATCAGGCTTAGTTTTGTATATCATATTGAACTTATGATATCATGTCCAAGTTCTGAATGAAACTGGGTTTGCTTTTTTTAAATCATCTGACCTGAAAAGTCAAGATGACCTATTGCTATTGTGCATCGTATATTCGAGAAAGGTGCAACTTCAATTCAGATGTATGTAAACAATATTATTGTCATGCATCTATTAGATATGTTCTGAAGTTACCTTACTCAATCATGTAAACATTTGACATATATTAATTTATATTATAGGGTCAGGTGTTGAATACACAGATAAAAACACTGTTAAGTAAACATTTGTTTTCACAATTTCAGAAATTCTTTGTTTTATAAGCAAGTGTGGTGTCTATCAGTTGTTATCATTACATATTAGTTGTTATCATTATATGAATGACTTGACCAAGGCCTGCTAAATCAAGTGTGGCATACCAGAACCTCATTGTCTAGCATGTTGTACTTGCACTTGTCAACACTGCATTTGCATCAGACACACCACAACTGTAGCACAAATGGTCATGCTCCAGGGTTTTGCTGTTTTACTGGGTTAAATCAGGGTGGCTACTGAAATCTGGCTGAATTTTGACTTCAGTTTTGGAGACGTACCCAATCAGGGAAAATAACTTAATTTGGTGATTTTCAGGGGCTACCCTGGAGAATCTATACTGACTGACACCAATGCACATCATGTAATGTATTTTGTGGATGTAATCATGCATTGATGTATGATGTGTGTTTGTATGTTTCAGGCCCACAATTCCCATCTGCGAGATCAGTGGCTTCACTCCATCTGCTGGAAGGTATGCAGACAATTTCTACGATTTTTGTGTCAATTATTCATAACTCTTTCACATTACTGTACGACAATTGATCACACCAATCCTTGGGGTTTGTTACATATTTTATTTCACCTTAATTTTTAACAAAAACTTGCTGAACTAGAGTCTTTCTTTATCTTAAATATAAGGAAGTTTAAATTCTTTGAGAGTTTATAACAATTTCTAATTTTTACGATGCTGTTTGATTAAATTTAAAAATAGCCTCTAGGATTGGCATGACTCAGTATTGTTATACAAAGGACACATAAATTTATAAACTGATAGTCATAAGTTTGGAAATCCATATATATCAGGGGGATATTTTTAATTGGTTATAGTTGGAAAGGCTGTATGTTCTATGGCTACAGCTAAGAAATAGTATTTTGGTATGTGTATATAGCTTTGGATGGTAACTATGGCAACATTTGCTTACATAGGTGTGAGAAGTGGCAGAGAGATAAGACAGGAGTGACATGGTTTTGCTGGAATTCAAACAAGCATAAACATTTGCTATATAAACTTTTCTCTAAAGTGTTTTGTAACCATGTATTGATCAATATGTCTCTATATCTCCATAGTGACTACTGTAGTGACCAGCATATATATATATCTCCATAGTGACTACTGTAGTGACCAGCATATATATATATCTATATCTCCATAGTGACTACTGTAGTGACCAGTATATATATATATATATATATATCTCCATAGTGACTACTGTAGTGACATTTATATATATATATATATATATATCTCCATAGTGACTACTGTAGCGACCAGTATATATATATATATATATATATATATCTCCATAGTGACTACTGTAGTGACCAGCATATATATATATATATATATCTCCATAGTGACTACTGTAGTGACCAGCATATATATATATATATCTCCATAGTGACTACTGTAGTGACCAGCACATATATATATATATCTCCATAGTGACTACTGTAGTGACCAGCATATATATATATATCTATATCTCCATAGTGACTACTGTAGTGACCAGTATATATATATATATATATATCTCCATAGTGACTGCTGTAATGACCAGTATATATATATATCTCCATAGTGACTACTGTAGTGACCAGCATATATATATATCTATATCTCCATAGTGACTACTGTAGTGACCAGTATATATATATATATATATATATCTCCATAGTGACTACTGTATATATACCATAGTGACTACTGTAGTATATATATATATAGTGACTACTGTAGTGACCAGTATATATATATATCTATATCTCCATAGTATATATATATATATATATATATATCTCCATAGTGACTACTGTAGTGACCAGTAATATATATATCTCCATAGTGACTCTGTAATGACCAGTATATATATATATCTCCATAGTGACTACTGTAGTGACCAGTATATATATATATATATCTCCATAGTGACTACTGTAGTGACCAGCATATATATATATATATATCTCCATAGTGACTACTGTAGTGACCAGAATATATATATATATATATCTCAATAGTGACTACTGTAGTGACCAGAATATATATATATATATATATATATATATATATATATATATATATATATCCATAGTGACTCTGTAATGACCAGTATATATATATATCTCCATAGTGACTACTCTAATGAACAGTATATATATCTCCATAGTGACTACTGTAATGACCAGTATATATATATATCTATATCTCCATAGTGACTACTGTAGTGACCAGTATATATATATATATCTCCATAGTGACTACTGTAGTGATAGTAATATATATATCTCCATAGTGACTCTGTAATGACCAGTATATATATATATATATATATATATATATATATATATCCATAGTGACTACTGTAGTGACCAGTATATATATATATCTCCATAGTGACTACTGTAGTGACCAGCATATATATATATATATCTCCATAGTGACTACTGTAGTGACCAGCATATATATATATATCTATATCTCCATAGTGACTACTGTAGTGACCAGTATATATATATATATATATATCTCCATAGTGACTGCTGTAGTGACCAGTATATATATCTCCATAGTGACTACTGTAGTGACCAGTATATATATCTCCATAGTGACTACTGTAGTGACCAGTATATATATATATCTATATCTCCATAGTGACTACTGTAGTGACCAGAAATATATATATCTCCATAGTGACTACTGTAGTGACCAGTAATATATATATCTCCATAGTGACTCTGTAATGACCAGTATATATATATATATCTCCATAGTGACTACTGTAATGAACAGTATATATATCCATAGTGACTACTGTAGTGACCAGTATATATATATATCTCCATAGTGACTGCTGTAGTGACTAGTATATATATATCTCCATAGTGACTACTGTAATGACCAATATATATATATATATATTGCCATAGTGACTACTGTAGTGACCAGGGTGACCACACTGGTGACGTGACTATGGTAGTAGTCATGATGATCACACCTCCATTAAACATTATCACAGGTGGATTGACCTCTCTGTAAAGCATTGGACAGGTAGAGAACTATGTTTTAGATGAATTGAATTTCTGACTACAGTAGTCTTTTTTTTTTATTTGGGATTTATTTTCATTGATTTGGTGGATACTCCTAATCCAAAAATTTGTTTGTCCATATTCATTCATCCATGAAATCAAATTCCCACAAAATTGATTTAAAAGAAACAACAAGAATTTGGTCATGCTAAAGTATATGAATTTACAGTCTTTCAACAGTGAAATGAAATATAGAGTTCAGCTCATTATCACAACTTTCATAGTTTACTTACTGAATGTCCATTGTCAACAGATAAACAGTGCCCGGCTGTCTTGATAAATACATGAATAGTAGTAATTACCTTCATGAGAATTGATTAAATTTCAGATGTCATCTAGGTTAAAATCTCTCAAGTTGTACACATTTCTGATCACTTAGGGACAAAACTTACTTTAATATTCCTTACAAGCCATTGACAGCTGTATGTTACCTTACAAACCATTGACAGCTGTATGTTACCTTACAATCAAATGACAGCTGTATGTTACCTTACAAGCCATTGACAGCTGTATGTTACCTTATAATCAAATGACAGTTGTATGTTACCTTACAAACCATTGACAGCTGTTTGTTACCATACAAGCCATTGACAGCTGTATGTTACCTTACAAACCATTGACAGCTGTACATTACCTTACAAATCTTTGACAGCTATATGTGACCATATCAGCCATTGACAGCTGCATGTTACCTTACAATCAAATGACAGTTGTATGTTACCTTACAATCAAATGACAGTTGTATGTTACCTTACAATCAAATGACAGCTGTATGTTACCTTACAAACCCATGTCAGCTGTATGTTACCATACAAACCCATGACAGCTGTATGTTACCATACAAACCATTGACAGCTGTATGTTACCTTACAAACCATTGACAGCTGTATGTTACCTTACAAGCCATTGACAGCTGTATGTTACCTTACAATCAAATGACAGTTGTATGTTACCTTACAAACCCATGACAGTTGTATGTTACCCTACAAACCCATGACAGCTATATGTTACCATGCAAAGCATTGACAGCTGTATGTTACCTTACAAACCCATGACAGCTATGTTTTTGTACAATCGATTGACAGCTGTATGTTACCTTACAAGCCATTGACAGCTGTTTGTTACCTTACAAGCCATTGACAGCTGTATGTTACCTTACAATCAATTGACAGCTGTATGTTACCTTACAATCAAATGATAGCTGTATGTTACCTTACAATCAAATGACAGCTGTATGTTACCTAACAAGCCATTGACAGCTGTATGTTACCATACAAACCATTGACAGCTGTATGTTACCTTACAATCAAATGACAGCTGTATGTTACCTTACAAGCAATTGACAGCTGTTTGTTACCATACAAGCCATTGACAGCTGTATGTTACCTTACAAACCATTGACAGCTGTATGTTACCTTACAATCAAATGACAGTTGTATGTTACCTTACAAACCCATGACAGTTGTATGTTACCTTACAAACCCATGACAGCTATATGTTACCATGCAAAGCATTGACAGCTGTATGTTACCTTACAAACCCATGACAGCTATGTTTTTTGTACAATCGATTGACAGCTGTATGTTACCTTACAAGCCATTGACAGCTGTATGTTACCTTACAAGCCATTGACAGCTGTATGTTACCTTACAATCAAATGACAGCTGTATGTTACCTTACAATCAAATGACAGCTGTATGTTACCTTACAAGCCATTGACAGCTGTATGTTACCTTAAAATCAAATGACAGCTGTATGTTACCAAACAAACCATTGACAGCTGTATGTTACCTTGCAATCAAATGACAGCTGTATGTTACCTTACAATCAAATGACAGTTGTATGTTACCTTACAAACCCATGACAGCTGTATGTTACCTTACAATCAAATAACAGCTGTATGTTACCTTACAATCAAATGACAGCTGTGTGTTACCTTACAAACCCTTGACAGCTGTATGTTACCTTACAAGCCATTGACATCTGTATGTTACCTTATAATCAAATGACAGTTGTATGTTACCTTACAAACCATTGACAGCTGTTTGTTTCCATATAAGCCATTGACAGCTGTATGTGACCATACAAACCATTGACAGCTGTATGTTACCTTACAATCAAATGACAGCTGTATGTTACCTTACAATCAAATGACAGCTGTATGTTACCTTACAAACCAATGACAGCTGTATTTTACATTACAAACCATTGACGGCTGTATGTTATCTTACAAACAATTGAAAGCTGTATATTGCTTGTTTCAGAAACACATGTACAAATGTGAAAACGTTTTGAAGAATGCCAGAAGACCAGAAGTTCTTGTAAAGGAAATTAAGGTTTGTCTTTATAAGGACCAGCATTGATTAAGACTGAAATTGTTTTTCCTTCAACACTGAAATATTGAACCATTGAAAATGAGTTCAAAAACCAAGGGTCCTGTAACCTAGGGTTCTGTAATCCAGGGTCCTGTAACCTAGGGTTCTGTATTCTAGGGTCCTGAAATGCTGGGGATTATAACCCAGGGTTCTGTATTCTAGGGTCCTGAAATGCTGGGGATTATAACCCAGGGTCATGAAACCTAGGGTTCTGGAATGCTGGGGATTATAACCCAGGGTCCTGAAACCTAGGGTTCTGTAATCCAGGGTCCTGGAATGCTGGGGATTATAACCCAGGGTCCTGTAACCTAGGGTTCTGTATTCTAGGGTCCTGAAATGCTGGGGATTATAACCCAGGGTCATGAAACCTAGGGTTCTGGAATGCTGGGGATTATAACCCAGGGTCCTGTAACCTGGGGTTCTGTATTCTAGGGTCCTGAAATGCTGGGGATTATAACCCAGGGTCCTGAAACCTAGGGTTCTGTAATCTAGGGTCCTGGAATGCTGGGGATTATAACCCAGGGTCCTGTAACCTGGTGTTCTGTATTCTAGGGTCCTGAAATGCTGGGGATTATAACCCAGGGTCCTGAAACCTAGGGTTCTGTAATCTAGGGTCCTGAAATGCTGGGGATTATAACCCAGGGTCATGAAATGCTGAAACCTAGGGTTCTGGAATGCTGGGGATTATAATCTAGGGTCCTGGAATGCTGGGGATTATAACCCAGGGTCCTGAAACCTAGGGTTCTGTAATCCAGGGTCCTGGAATGCTGGGGATTATAACCCAGGGTCCTGTAACCTGGGGTTCTGTATTCTAGGGTCCTGAAATGCTGGGGATTATAACCCAGGGTCCTGAAACCTAGGGTTCTTTTTTCTAGGGTCCTGAAATGCTGGGGATTATAACCCAGGGTCCTGAAACCTAGGGTTCTGTATTCTAGGGTCCTGAAATGCTGGGGATTATAACCCAGGGTCCTGTAACCTAGGGTTCTGTATTCTAGGGTCCTGAAATGCTGGGGATTATAACCCAGGGTCCTGAAACCTAGGGTTCTGTAATCCAGGGTCCTGGAATGCTGGGGATTATAACCCAGAGTCCTGTAACCTGGGGTTCTGTATTCTAGGGTCCTGAAATGTTGGGGATTATAACCCAGGGTCCTGAAACCTTAAAGGCATCGTCCTGTAATCTAGGGTCCTGTAACCTAGGGTCCTTAACTGCATCATCCTGTAATCTAGGGTCTTGTAACCTAGGGTTCTGTTCTCTAGGGTCCTGTAATCTAGGGTCCTGTAACCTAGAGCTCTGTAACACAGAGGTCTGTATTCAAGGGTCCATTTATGCAGTTTTTTGCCTGATTTCTTGTGGAATTTTTGGTTTTGTGTACCAGGTATTTTGTTTTGATATAACACATACACACTTATTAATGTGGTGGTATGTATATCACTTTGTCCATTGATCTGTCCATCCATCCATCATTGGTCAAGTTTAAAGAATAAAAGGTCACACATGGCTGCATTGCATTTGTCACACATGGCTGCATTGCATTTGGAAATAAATAAATTGTTTACAAGATATCTCAAGAACCCTGCAGGTTAATATCCACACCAGTGTATTTGACCTTAATGCTCATTGTCGATGGAAGTCAAAGGTCATGCATTAAAAGAAATTGCCAGGTTCTGGAGGAGTAATGTTGTGAATGTAGGTGACAAGCTGACATCCCTTAGTAAATTAGATTATATCAACATGCTGGGAAGTTGATGAGAGACAGCATTTCACAGCACTCATGGTAGTGTACATTGGTCAAGCTTTAGATTCACTGTGTTGTAATCTGCCTTTCACAGCACATTATAGACTTGCTGTACATATCATATATCATCTTTATGAATTATCATAATAGTAATTAAATTCGCCCATTTTTGGTGATTGAGGTTTTGGTGGATTTAGTAAATGTCCATTTCTTTTGATTTTCGTTTGGTTTTATTGGCTTTTGTCTGGCATTGTGTATCATGCATCCTTTTTCATTTTTGACTTCTTCTCAGTTGACTCAAATTTCAAAAATCTTCTAAACACCCAAATATTATAGAATCAAATACTCTTAATGGATGGAAGTGTCTTCAGGTGAGTTTCATGGGCCCAAGGTCTCCTATTTCCTGGTGGGGAGGGGGTAAGATTTACTATAGTTTATATAGGAAAACCAGAGTTCTGAGGTTAATTTGTTAACTTTCTAATGGAAATATCTCAAACTTGGTTAGAATTTTGAGCAAAGGATGACTGCTTGATGGTATGCCCATTTTCATCTTGGTTGACCCAAGGGATGATGGGTGAGGCCAAAGGGGGTCAGACTTAACACCCAGATATGGTAGAATCAAATGCTCTTCGTGAATAGCAGCATCTTAAGGTGCTTTACCAAATTGGGTCTCGCATTTGTTCCTGGGGAGGAGGTTAACTTTAATATAATTTATAAAGGAAAATTGCATTTTTGAGCATATAATTGTTTATTTCCCATTGAAAATAACTTTGTATGAATTATTAATATAGGATGACAGTTTTGATGGTATGCATGTATTGGCACTGGCTTATTGTCATCAATGTCACATCTTCTTTCTCATGGCACTGGAAAGCTACTTACCCTTTAACCTTTACATACAATGTTGCTTATCTAAGGTGACTGTCAGGGCCAGTAGGATTCTTGTAGAGCATGAATTTCCTTATTTTCTATTGGAAATAATTAAAAAGTGGTTAGAATTAATATTATAGGATGTCAGTTTTATGATATGCATTTATTGACCCTGGCTGACATCCAGGAGCTAAAGTAATATCACTTAAGTCTGCCTGTCATCATTTTTACTTTATTCTTTTTTCAGAACATGATCGACCTATCTTTGACCACTCCCATACAGGATGCCAGTGTATTCCAGTTTCCACTTGACCTGGTGTCCAACCTTCTACAGGAGGTGAGTGTCTTTATCCTTTTCCTAAAGACCTCACCTGGTGTCATTAGAGGTCACCATAATGTCATGTATGTCATGTGTGTGTAGCTGATATCTGTGAAAATGTCATTGGTCAAGCTGATACAGATGATGATGTCATTGGTTTGTGTGTTCTGTACAAGCTGATGCAGGATTATGTCTTTGGTTTGTGTGTACAAGTTGATAATGTTAATGTCTTAAGTTTTTTTGCACGAGCTGATGCAGAAGATGTCATTGGTTTTTTTGTACAAGCTGATACAGAAGATGATGTCATTGGTTTGTGTGTTCTGTACAAGCTGATACAGATGATGATGTTATTGGTTTGTGTGTTCTGTACAAGCTGATACAGATGATGATGTCATTGGTTTGTGTGTTCTGTACAAGCTGATGCAGAAAATGATGTCTTTGGTTTGTGTGTTCTGTACAAGCTGATGCAGAAGATGATGTCTTTGGTTTGTTTGTTCTGTACAAGCTGATACAGAGGATGATGTCATCGATTTGTGTGGTCTGTACAAGCTGATGCAGAAGATGATGTCTTTGGTTTGTTTGTTCTGTACAAGCTGATACAGAGGATGATGTCATCGATTTGTGTGGTCTGTACAAGCTGATACAGAGGATGATGTCATCGATTTGTGTGGTCTTTGCAAGTTTTACATGATTGTGAAATGCATGCTTTTGTTTTGACTTTAGTTTGTGTACTTGACAGCATGAAGCTCGCCTTCGAAACATTTCACTTTATATTAATATCACACTAAATATCCATTGTAGTTTTCTGAATCTCTGTGATGAGCAAAATAGAAGTAAATCATTAGGGCCCCGCATTGAGATTTGTATTTGTTGTCAGATTCGCACCAAATTTGGTATGTGGCTTTATATTCATGAGACCTGGCATTAGTGAAATCCATCAATATTTGCAGGGTTTTGGGACATTGAATGACAAAAATTGACCATTTTATCCTTATTTGGTCATGACCATGCAGTGTTTCTTTTCATGCTGTGCTGGCTTATGAAATCTTCTGCACAATGGCTGCTTATAGGTGGGGCCCTTCATTGATGTTGATCTAATTTCATTTTGGTTTAAAGTTTCATAAAAGATAGCAAATGATAGCAAAAGTCTTTGTGAACTGTTACCTTTCTGTTCCATTCTTGAAATGCATTCATGTCATTGGTTCTTTTGAATCATGTCTGTTTAAAGAAATATTTTGATAGATATACTTTAGTGCTGTCAGGCAACTTGTTTAATGAAAACTATTGAGATGGCAATCTAAGTTTGAATCACTTCTGCCAGATTTCTTTTGCTTTAAATCAAAGATGTCCAAATATTTTAGTTTGATGCCCATCACAATCCGATTGTGAGCTGTTAAAGTAATCTAAGTGTGAATCACTTTTGCCAGATTTCTTTTGCTTTAAATCAAAGATGTCCAAACCTTTTAGTTTGATGCCCATTACAATCAGATGGTGAGCTGTTCAAAGTACCCTATTCTCAGTAATCTGACATCTGTTTAACAGTTCTTTAACAATTCTTGTTATCACTATTTTTTTTAGAAATGTACTGAATGGATTATTCTCAAATTTCACATGTAGGTTCCTAGTTGTGCTTAATCCATTTTAGGATCAAGGAAACAAATTTTGCTGATCTTCGATTTTTACTTTCAGAGATTGTTATTTAATTTCTGAAAACTACTGAATGGATTCTTCTCATATTTGATAATGTCATAACTACTTGTTAAGGGACTGATTGGAAAAGTAAAATGGCTGACTTTTTTTTTAATATTGATGTTACTGTATGATTTTTTCACCAGTCCATACATCATATAACTACCGGCAAATACGAAATACAAAAAAGATGAGAAACAGTGGGAAAAAGATCCATCAAATTAAAATTCAATAAAGATCATTCAGTGGTGATCACCAAGATTCCTCGGAGATCTCTTGTTTTCAGATCAGATAATGTCATTGTGATAGTTATCAGGATAATTTGATTTGTATTTATATTGAGAATATTTTTTTTTAATCAAGAAGCATCAAGTTGTTGATACAATGACATGTTAATCATGTAACCTGGATTTGTTCTATTTGGAAGACGACATTTAATGTCTTATCGCTGAAAACCCTTTATTATTAAATTCTAAAAAAAGCCACATGTCATGTCACTGAGTCACAATTAGACTCTTCAGTATAAAGTTTGTCTGAATAGCTTCATGTTGATGATATTAGCTCTTTGATATCAGACAAATTATAGTATGAATATTGAATTCTAGACATAGGAATTAATCAAAGGTAGCTGTTTTGAACGGTTTAAACATTATTAGCTTTTAAATTAATACTTTTTAGATGATAGTTTTTAGCAACATGTGTATGCTGGTTATATATAGCCCCTTATCTGTGATGGTTAGGATGTATAAATCTGGGATCTGTCTTTCCATTCATATATCTGTCTGTATGTCTGTTGGATCATCCCTTTGTCCATGGTTAATCACATTGTCAATCAAAATGCGGTCTGTTAGCTTCATCTGTCAAACGATAGCTAGTCTGTCAACCTGTCTGTTCACCGAGATGAGGTCTCTGTTACTTCAACGAATGACCAATATTTAATTTTTTTCTGTAAATGTAGCTAAGATTCAGCTTGAAGACCTGGAATTCTTAGATCCAAAAGGGTTAAACAGGAAATTTTTGTGAAAATTTGTTTAATTTAAATTCCTTTTTGTCTTCCTATACTGTGCAATACCTTAGTAAGAAATATGATTTTTAAACATAAAAATTAAAACATCAAGTGAAAAAAAAATTATTAGAAAAAAGTATCAATATTAGATCAGATAGAATATATAAAAACGAGATCAGAATATATAAAAACGAGACCAGAATACATAAAAACGAGATCAGATTATATAAAAACGAGACCAGAATACATAAAAACGAGATCAGAATATATAAAAACGAGACCAGATTATATAAAAACGAGACTAGAATACATAAAAACCAGATCAAATTAGATAAAACGAGACCAGAATAAATAAAAACGAGACCAGAATACATAAAAACGAGATCAGATTATATAAAAACGAGACCAGAATACATAAAAACGAGACCAGATTATATAAAAACGAGATCAGTATATATAAAAACGAGATCAGAATATATAAAAACGAGATCAGAATACATAAAAACGAGATCAGATTATATAAAAACGAGACTAGAATACATAAAAACCAGATCAAATTAGATAAAACGAGACCAGAATACATAAAAACGAGATCAGAATACATAAAAACCAGATCAGATTATATAAAAACGAGATCAGAATATATAAAAACGAGACCAGAATACATAAAAACGAGATCAGATTAGATAAAAACGAGACCAGAATACATAAAAATGAGATCAGATTATATAGAAACGAGACCAGAATACATAAAAACCAGATCAGATTAGATAAAACGAGACCAGAATATATAAAAATGAGATCAGATTATATAAAAACGAGACCAGAATACATAAAAACGAGATCAGAATATATAAAAACGAGACCAGAATACATAAAAATGAGATCAGATTAGATAAAAATGAGACCAGAATATATAAAAACGAGATCAGAATATATAAAAACGAGACCAGAATACATAAAAATGAGATCAGATTATATAAAAACGAGACCAGATTATATAAAAATGAGATCAGAATACATAAAAACGAGATCAGAATACATAAAAACGAGACCAGAATACATAAAAACGAGATCAGAATACATAAAAATGAGACCAGAATACATAAAAACGAGATCAGAATACATAAAAACGAGACCAGAATACATAAAAACGAGATCAGATTAGATAAAAACGAGACCAGAATACATAAAAAGAGACCAGAATACATAAAAAGAGATCAGAATACATAAAAACGAGATCAGAATACATAAAAACGAGACCAGAATACATAAAAACGAGATCAGAATACATAAAAAGAGATCAGAATACATAAAAAGAGATCAGAATACATAAGAATGAGATCAGATTATATAAAAACGAGACCAGAATACATAAAAACGAGATCAGAATACATAAAAACGAGATCAGAATACATAAAAATGAGACCAGAATACATAAAAAGAGATCAGAATACATAAAAATGAGACCAGAATACATAAAAAGAGATCAGAATACATAAAAACGAGATCAGAATACATAAAAATGAGATCAGAATACATAAAAATGAGACCAGAATACATAAGAATGAGATCAGATTATATAAAAACGAGACCAGAATACATAAAAATGAGACCAGAATACATAAAAAGAGATCAGAATACATAAAAACGAGATCAGAATACATAAAAATGAGACCAGATTATATAAAAACGAGACCAGAATACTTAAAAACGAGATCAGAATACATAAAAATGAGATCAGATTATATGAAAACGAGATCAGATTATATGAAAACGAGATCAGAATACATAAAAACGAGACCAGATTATATAAAAACGAGACCAGTATACATAAGAATGAGATCAGAATACATAAAAACGAGATCAGAATATATAAAAACGAGATCAGAATACATAAAAACGAGACCAGATTATATAAAAACGAGACCAGAATACATAAAAACGAGATCAGAATATATAAAAACGAGACCAGAATACATAAAAACGAGACCAGAATACATAAAAACGAGATCAGAATACATAAAAACGAGATCAGAATACATAAGAATGAGATCAGAATACATAAGAATGAGATCAGAATACGTAAAAATGAGACCAGAATATATAAAAACGAGACCAGAATACATAAAAACGAGATCAGATTATATAAAAACGAGACCAGAATATATAAAAACGAGCTAAGATTATATAAACGAGATTATAATATATGAAAAAAAACGAGATCAGAATACATAAAAACGAGATGTGTTTATTTTGCTGTGTTGACCATATCTTTTGTTAAATTTCATTGTTTTAATTGTTTCAAAAGGTATAATATATCAGTCAGTCAAATTCTTGTCATTTCTCTGGAATAATTTTTACATCCTTCAATAATTTTTTTTAGGGAAAAGGAGGATGGAGGAGATATACTTTAAATGATCTTGACATTTTTAGCTCACCTGGCCCAAAGGGTCAATTCATTTTACTTTTTGTCTTCCAATCTTATTTTTAATAAGAAATAACCATGACTGTTGTGCAGTTTTTTTATGTGAATTAATTTTCAGGGAAGGTCAGAACTGGGAAATTTTACTACCTTAGTGATAAAAACGAATGGTGAAAAACTTGACACAATGGTGAGGTGCTAAGAGAGTTTGTATGTTTTAGGAGCTTCTGGTCATTTAACGTCATTGTGGTACTTGATCAGAATTTCCATGTTACATTTGCCCAAGTTTAAGTTCCGTTTGTCATTTTTAGAAATAAACAAAAACCCTCAAATTATTTTCCCTATAAAACACTTATTTCTATGCAGACAATATTTATTTCACTACCAAAACAATCACCTGACATCATCAAGTTGTGATTATGACTTTACAATAGTGTTAATACATATCACATTATATAATATTAATGACATGGCGGTCTGACATGACACAACAGGCTGGTTAAAGGACTTTGTATGTATACTTGTTTGTGAATATTAAATCATTTATCTATGCTGCTTAAACAGTTGTTGGATGTGTCATTGAAAATCATTTTATCAAGAACATCACACATTTTCAAGATGACTGATGTAGTCTGTTATATAAAATTAACCGTTTCCATCACTACATGTTATGTAGGTGTATGTAGGTACTAAAGTTAATGTTCGAAATGTGATTCAAAATGATAATGGGTTACTATGGTGACTTGGTATTGTAAAGGTAAAATGACCATTACTGAATGATTAAGACAGAGTCTGAAGCAAACTGACCATTACCTGTAGAGTCTTGGGTTCAGAACATGACTTCGGGCCTTTGTTGTTTAAATGAATCTGATATTTTCTGATATTATTATCTTTCTGGACATACAGTGACCTTTTTTGACCAGTCTCATCCATCACATTGCATTGGTATATAGCGGACTCCTCGACAACTGCGAGAGACGAAAGGGGAAGAAATTTGTAATTAACTGAGATAAACTGAGATATTGAATAAAAAAAAGTTAATAGTATGGTCCAGAAATGCTTTCTCAAAATTGTAAATTTTGTAACCCCTGGGTCCTCCGTTTGCTTCTAGAAAAAGGAAAGTTTTACCACAAGTTACATTGGAAAATAATACTTTTGGGTATATTTAGTTTAATTTTTGTGAGAAATACTTCAATCTTGGTTTGAATTATTATCATCAGATAGCAATTTGATTGAATGTAAATACAGATTAGCACCCCACCCCATAGGCCGAAGGGAGAAGTGCAAATGGACGTATTTGCTTATGTGCCGAAAGTCTTCTTTTCAAGACTCAGATGCTGAAGGCTAATAAAACATTCCATGAATGGGAATGGCTGAATATGCTTATCAAAATTATGAATTTTGTCAAACAGGGGTACCTTTTAGGGAGGGGGTAAATTTTAGTAATGTTTATATTGCCATCAGATAGAAGGTTTCAATAAAAGCAATTCTAATTATAAAATGACCTCTGAAATCAAATCCAATGTTTTTTAATGGGATATAACAGAAGTTTGTGACGAGTTGATGGGATTAAACAGTATCTAGTGATATTTTATATAACTGAAATAATATTCCCATCTCAGTTATACCAAATGTGTGATGAGATGTTTTTGATGAACATACGAGTCTGAGTGTGAGAGAATGTGAAGAAAAAACAACAACCAAAGATCAATTTCAGAAATGCCAGACGATTTTGATATAGTACCTTGTTTCATGTTCTAGTTATTGATTTTTGTCAGCGACCATATAATGGACGTCAGATTGCTAGCTGTGGCTGGCCTTCAGTACGTTATTGGGAAGACCAGCACAATCTGTGTACAGTAAGCTGGGCAGGTCTTTACCAGAATATCACAGCACCACATGTGGTGGTACAGAAAATCTTAACAAGATATCTCTCTGTATCTCCTGTAGGATATTGTCTTGTCTTTCATGCTGTTATGGTTTCAGTTTTGTTCTGGGCACCTCCATGAATCCTTGCTCTGTTGGGATCAGTGTGTTCCTTCAAAAAATGAACTTCTGAAGAATCAGTAGCTATACAAAGGTTTTCTTTTTTTGGGGTTTGACAATACGTGTCTGATGAATTCTGGCTTTGCAAGAAATCTTCCTATATTTTACATTTAAAAATTGAAACTTGTGGAGAATTAAAATCACAACGGGATAATTGTTATGAGAAGTCTTTGACGTGTTGAAAAACGTTTCATATACCATTAAATGGTACAATGAAATTTAAGTCCTTATCATAAGATTTCAAAATCATGGAGGAAACTTCATTTCACAAATTTTGGCAAAAGTAAGCATGTGACTACTAGAATCAATGGACAGGGATATTCCAACCTAGTGAAAGAGTTTGACTGGCCAGTACTAGGAATGCTGATCAGTCTGACGCAATTGAGAGTTGGGATATCCAGCTGTTTTCCCCAACCCTGTGTGAGATAATTATATTTTCCCTTAAACTAACAGGATCTTGATGTGAAGTGAATGAGAAACAATTTGTCTACTTTTTCTGTCTTCTTGGTCTTCTCATGTCATAACATAAATGTTTACTAAGGGAGAGGTCTCTATTACAGAATGCCGATTTCATCACCAGAGTAGCACACGAGAACATCATCGTAGCCTTGACACCTCTACTGGAAAACAATTACCCTACACAGGAAATATGTGGCTTCTTCAGCAAGGTGAGCTATCCATAAATCAGTACAATGGACTGGATTTGAAAATCAGACACATAGTTGAAATTTGGTAAGTCTGTCTTATAAATCTATCATTTGGATTTTAATTAATAAATAAATAAAGATGGATAAAAATGGATAAATAAATACAGGATGCTTAGATATTGCTTATTTAAGAAGTAGAGTTGTTCCCCTTCTTTAGCTCCTATAAATAGCTCTTTCCTTAAACAATTTACTAATGGTTTGTAACTTTTCAAAAAACACTTTTATATGATGATCACCTTTCTAAATGGTCCTGTTTTGTTTTGCCTTATTCAATATGCACATTTTCGATGGTAATTGAATAATTCTGTTGGTTTATACAGAGTGTAGAGTACGTAGTGTGATCTGTTTTATACAGGGGTTGTGGTTATAAGATATGAAATCCAGATTAAACTAGGTCTAGATTACACAGAGGTCTGGATAATGATATAGAGAGTTCCAATTACACAAATTTGAATTACACAGGGATAAGTGGATAACACTAGGTCTGGAAAACACAGGGGTCTTGATAATGATATTGATATAAAGTGTATAGACTGCACTGGATTATACTTGGACTCTGGGTCATACAGTCTGGATTATACTTGGCCGCTAGGTTATACAACCATACAGTCTGGATTATACTTGGCCGCTAGGTTATACAACCATACAGTCTGGATTATACTTGGCCGCTAGGTTATACAACCATACAGTCTGGATTATACTTGGACTCTGGGTCATACAGTCTGGATTATACTTGGAGGTTATACAACCATACAGTCTTGATTATACTGCTAGGTTATACAACCATACAGTCTGGATTATACTTGGCCTAGGTTATACAACCATACAGTCTGGATTATACTTGGGTCATACAGTCTGGATTATACTTGGACTCTGGGTCATACAGTCTGGATTATACTTGGCCGCTAGGTTATACAACCATACAGTCTGGATTATACTTGGCCGCTAGGTTATACAACCATACAGTCTGGATTATACTTGGACTCTGGGTCATACAGTCTGGATTATACTTGGACTCTGGGTCATACAGTCTGGATTATACTTGGCCGCTAGGTTATACAACCATACAGTCTGGATTATACTTGGCCTCTGGGTCATACAGTCTGGATTATACTTGGCCTCTGGGTCATACAGTCTGGATTATACTTGGCCTCGTGGTCATACAGTCTGGATTATACTTGGCCTCAGGGTGGGTCATACAGTTTGGATTATACTTGGCCTCTAGGTTATACAACCATACATAGTGGATTATACTTGGCCTCGTGGTCATACAGTCTGGATTATACTTGGCCTCAGGGTGGGTCATACAGTTTGGATTATACTTGGCCTCTAGGTTATACAACCATACATAGTGGATTATACTTGGCCTCGTGGTCATACAGTCTGGATTATACTTGGCCTCAGGGTGGGTCATACAGTCTGGATTATACTTGGCCTCTGGGTCATACAGTCTGGATTATACTTGGCCTCTAGGTTATACAACCATACATAGTGGATTATACTTGGCCTCTGGGTCATATAGTCTGGATTATACTTGGCCTCTGGGTCATACAGTCTGGATTATACTTGGCCTCATGGTCATACAGTCTGGATGATACTTGGCCTCTGGGCCATACAGTCAATTGTTCTTCATGTCTGCAGCATTTTGTGATGTGGGGCATTTTAATCAATTTGCATGTGTATTTTTTTAACAGCACTGTAAAAACAGCCCACGCTCCAGTATTGTCATAGAACTCTTCACTCCAGTTGTCATGAGGATTATGAAACACAACACAGTGAGTAACTCTACTTAATATCAATAATGTCAATTTACAGTTAGTATCCTGTTTCCTGTTGAGAAGTGATTAGTAGAACATATTTTGTCCCTAACTAGCCATATTATTTCATAACCCAATAAATTTTATGTAGTGCTCTTATCTGGTTGGAATACCTTAGCTTCATACCATCTTTTTTACTGTTTTATAAACTGTCATTAATGTTTTGGATGTGAAAAGATTAAGTCATTTTACAGGATTTTGGAAAGTATCCACGAATGAGAGGATTCGTACAAGAGTACATCCAGGCCTTAAATTGTCAAAACGATGGTTTCAACGTTGTACAAAACTTTGTCAGAAGGTCAGTAGCATGATTATTGTAAGGCTGTACTTGAGGGTGTATGTTACCTTAGTGTGACATTGAGACTGAAGGCTGTATTTTAACTTTGCTACTGTGAAATTGAAACTTAAGCTGTATTCATACCATGGAGACTTTAGGCAGTAAGGTACCTTACTGTGAGAAGGAAAAAAGGAGGCTTAATTGGACCTTAAGTGGTATGGCGACAGAAAGACATCAAGGCTGTATTCTTATCACGGAGACAGACTTAAGGCTGTATATTACCTTACTGTGACATTGAGACTTAAGACTGTTTTGTACTACTGTGACATGGATATTTAAGGCTGTATGTTACCTAATTGTGACATTGAGACTTAAGACTGTTTTGTACTACTGTGACATGGATATTTAAGGCTGTATGTTACCTAATTGTGACATTGAGACTTAAGACTGTTTTGTAGCTACTGTGACATGGATATTTAAGGCTGTATATTACCTTACTGTGACATTGAGACTTAAGACTGTTTTGTAGCTACTGTGACATGGATATTTAAGGCTGTATATTACCTTACTGTGACATGGAGACTGAAGGCTGTATTCTTCCTTACTATGACATTGAGACTTAAGACTTCATTTTAGCTACCATACTTTGTCATTGAGACTTGAGACTGTATTAATGTCATAGAGACTTAAGGTTGTATGTTACCTTACTATGTCATGGAGATTTCAGACTGTATGGCACCTTACTGTGACATAGACCGACATTTAGGATTGATACTTGCTCATTTTAACATAGATGTTTAAGGCTGTATGTAACCTTTCTGTAACACAGGGACTTAAAGGTGCAAGTTGTCTTACTTATTGTAACTTGGAGACTTTATTATGAATGACACTTAAGATTACTTCCATGCTTCATCTTCTTTTCAAAAGAATTTCAATTCAGAAATCTTCATCGCAGCTTAAATGACTGATTTAAACAAATTAAATTAAACAATCTACAATCAAATTGATATCACCTGGGTGATTTTAAATAATAAAGGGAGGTAATGCTAACACAGATAACAGTTTTTACCTTAATATGGTATCATGAACGAAGTTTTGAAATTACAATGGAGAAGAAAATGAATGTTAAAGGGACCACTCATTTGTTTGTTTACAGTATGCATGGTCCATCGAGTACATGTCCACATCCTCGTGTCCTGCCAAACATGGTTGCTGTATGTCTGGCTGCAATCTACACCTGTTATGAAGATAAGAGAAAGTACAATACATTTACTAAACATCAATGAGAAATTTAGATAAATTGATAGCTCCATTTAGACTGACAGAAAAATGAACAAAGGGCAATAACTCCTATTTTATGTGATTTGTATCATTAAAAATTTGACTTTTATGAGCAAGTCTAAATTTTTCTACATTGAGGTACTTTGTGTATATATTAAAGGAATTTCAGAAGCAATGTGCTGACATATAGTTACATTGACTTTTGTAGTAGAATTTGGAACTTCAGTGTTAAACAATATGAAATTGCCCTTCAATCAGTCCATTGGTTACCTCTTTCAGTGCTATGCAGAGCAACACCACCATTATCTTGGATAAACAGGAATGGGAGATGAAATTACTATGTTATATTGGAATCCTGGAAACACTGTAAGTATATGTGCTTTGTTATTGTAATACTGTAGAAATGACTTGTAGTAATTTCAATGGCAGCTAGGTAGCATTGAGTGTTGCGATTGCTGGATATTCATGTTTCATGGTGAGACGTCCACTATTTTGTATACTAGTTCAATAGACATGATTTTGTTGTGTGATAGCTCTGGTGTCATATTTTTATAATTTTAGACATCTTGATATATATTTATACATTTGTAGATATTTAAATGTTTGTTGATATTTTTAGGTCTTCTTACTCGGACTGGAGACTGGTCCTTGGTAGCCTGCTACAACCAATTCCATTTCCTAACGAGTGAGTAGTCTCCGCTGAAAATGTTTCTGTTTTATTCATTTAGCATTATGATTATTCCAAGTAGGTTGAATTGTTCTTATCTACTAATCTCAGTATATCTTCTTGTGTAATGCCAGCTTCTATAAAATTACTGTTGTTGACTTTTTCAGTGCCCTTGCTCACGAGCTGTTCACTTCGTAAGTATTGTTACTTTCTACCTGGACACACTGTAAATCATGAAAAAAATATTCACACAATTGAAAAGAAAACTATTTAAAAGGGCAATTAATTATTCTTATTACATATCTTGTCAAAAAATTCAACTTCCTGAATGGAGTGTTCAACTAGTGATCATATTAATGAGTTAAACAGTACAATGAAAAATACTTGTATGCTGGTAGTAGGAATGATTTCAAGAATCTCAAAGTATTTAAATTTTTTGTCAAATTTGCTAAATTTTCATGTTTTGTACAATGTATTCAGACATTATAATGTATAGAAAATTTAGATTTTGATATCAGGAATTCAAATTTCCTTGTTGAAATTATTTTTCTTTGTTGTTAAAAAGTGTTCAGTTTGTATAGAAAATGAAGCTGATTGACATTGGCAGGAATGTTATTTGTGAATGACATTTGATTATCACTGCATGTCTGGGCTGTTGTGCTTGGCTCTTTTAACAACATTTGATTTTAACTGCAAGAGATGTCATTCATGGATATGTGAATGGCAGTTGATTATGAATGCCATTGCTGTCATTCATGGTTCTGTTTATGTATTTTGTTTTGTAGAAAAATGAAGCCTGTCCTGCAGAACATAGCTGAAGATGATCACTGTGATGTTCACCAAACCATTCTTGGAATCCGTGATGGCAAGGAGGGCTGGTTTCATGTGTACACACCAGGAAGTTTAGCCTGTGATGATGAGGGCAAGCTGTGGGGAGCCATGGTAGGTTTGTCAGCATCATCTACCTCATCATTCCTGCATCATAATATCCAATTAAGAATCCTGGGGTACATTTAACTCTCATGCCTGATAATATACACCTCATTCCATATACCTTACCATAATCCCTGCCTCAAATGTACACCCCAAAATCTCTATCCAGAAATCCAAGCCTTAAACATCTACATGTACACCCCAAAATCTCTGTCTCAATATATCCACTCCAAAATCTCTACCCCACCGTCCTGAACTCAAGACTTTCTTCTCTTCTCTACCTGCAGTCTCAGAATCCCTTCCTTAATATCTCCATGACACATCATCTACCTCACAAAGCTTGGGTCACCATATCTGTCTCCACCTCTTTACCATAATTGTCCCTTCACCCTGCAGACCTTTGAATAAAATCTCTGCTCCAAAAGATTTCTGCTTCAAAAGATATTTCAAAACATTTATAGACATATAGAGAAGAAGGCACTTTGATTTAGAAAACTTTCCTTACTTTGATTCAAAAGCTTGTCCTAACTTTGATTTAGAGAGTGTGTCCTAGCTAATCATGTCCTAATTTTGATTTAGAAAGCATGTCCTAACTTTGTTTTAGAAAGCGTGTCCTCACTTTGATTTAGAAAGCATTGCCTCACTTTGATTTAGAAAGCGTGTCCTCACTTTGATTTAGAAAGCATGTCCTAACTTTGATTTAGAAAGCATGTCCTAACTTTGATTTAGAAAGCATGTCCTAACTTTGTTTTAGAAAGCGTGTCCTCACTTTGTTTTAGAAAGCATGTCCTCACATTGATTTAGAAAGCATGTCCTCACTTTGATTTAGAAAGCATGTCCTCACTTTGTTTTAGAAAGCGTGTCCTCACTTTGATTTAGAAAGCATGTCCTAACTTTGATTTAGAAAGCGTGTCCTCACTTTGATTTAGAAAGCATGTCCTAACTTTGTTTTGATTCACTTTGATTTAATGTCCTCACTTTGATTTAGAAAGCATGTCCTAACTTTGTCATGTCCTCACTTTGATTTAGAAAGCATGTCCTAAGTGTCCTCACTTTGTAGAAAGCATGTCCTCACTTTGATTTTGATTTAGAAAGCATGTCCTAACTTTGATTTAGAAAGCATGTCCAAACTTTGTTTTAGAAAGCGTGTCCTAACTTTGATTTAGAAAGCGTGTCCTTATTTTGATTTAGAAATATTTTCCTTGCTTTGATTAAGAAAGAGTGTCCAAACTTTGATTTAGAAAGATTGTTTTAACTTTGATTTAGAAAGATTTTCTTCACTTTGATTTAGAAAAAATTTCCTAAATTTGATTTAAAGTGTTCTACCTTTAATTTTGAAAGTGTGTCCTAATATTGATTAAAACATAATGTCTTGTTTCACTAAGATTATCCTAATTTTGATTCTACAGCTGAATTCCCTGATACATTGCTGTTGTAAAAGAAAGAAGTTTTTGAACGGCCTCAACAAGATGGTAGGACCCATCATGCTGTTAGCCTTGCGAGAGAACGAGGCAGCCATGGAGGTTTGTTAAGATACTATAGATGAGTAACATCCACACAGACACATAACTTAAGTTTAATGCTTTATTACACCTGATGTTAAGAATTTAACATTAACATCACTGGTAAAGAGTCTTTTGAACACATTCAGGTTTTCACCTTTCACAGTTATCTCCCCTTGACAACTTTATTACATCCACATATCTGTAACAATAACAATAAAGCTCCCATTAGGGCAAGCCACAATGTAGGTTCCTCTCTAAAAAATATAAAAAGAAATTAAGAAGGAAATAACAAATAAAAATAAAAAATGAAAATAGAACCCATGTAGAGTAAGAATGGGACAAAAAATATACACAAAGTATATAGAAATGTTTGAGGTTTGGGGTAGTGATCACTAGATATTTCATAGATATTTAATTGGTATGATTTTTCCACAGGTATTGTGTGCGATGTTGGAGTTTGATGTGGTAGAGAGCAATGATATGAAGATGCAGATGGTAACGACTCTGCAAAGTACTAATGTGGGGAAGCGTATGTACGCGCAACTGTGTGAAAGGCAGATTGCCCTCAGGGAGTTGGTATGTATAGCTATATTATGGTATATTTAATCATCTCAACATTCTTTTTACTCTTTATTTTTTAGATATTTTGAAATTTTCACATTAATTTGATAAACTCACAATCATCACATGGTGGGCTACTCAAATTGCTGTGTGTATGTGGTCTATGGTCTATCTGTCAGTTAGTGAACAATTCTTGGGAAGTACTCTTCTGGAGAAGAACCCGATGGATTTTTTAGCTGACCTGGTCCAAAGCATGGTCTTTAAAATCCTACTCCTCCTGTAGGAATGATTGAATTTTGCCCAAAATTCGTCTCAAACATTCTTGGATGAAGAATAAACAATTTTGTATAAATGGTGGATCTTGGCCCCCTAGGGGAGGAGGAGAGGGACTCCATAGGGGAAACGTGTTTAGATCCCCATTACATAACCATGTATAGCATTGCTGAGAAATATAATCACTATTGTGGTGTAAGAATTGGCCCTGGGGACTGGCCACACTCCTAGGGACTCAGTTTCATGGCAATGGAAACAGTTGAGATCCCCACCTCTAAACCATATATTGCAATGATGGGCATCGAGAAATACACATTCAAATAATTTCTGGATGATATCTTTAAAACAGTTGAAATTCCCACCTCATAACCATATATATATAGAGAGAATTGCTTGTTACATAAGAATTGACCCTTGGATGTGGCACACCTCAAGGGACATTATTTCTGGGCCATATTTTTAATATAGTTGAGATACCAACTGATAACTATATAAACTGTTACTTGGAATCAAAAGAGAAAAACAGTAATTATATAAGAATTGGCTTGGCTTTAAGATCCAGTGGAGGGATATAGGCCCTATGGGCCTCTTGTTGTGGTAAAAGGTAAATATGTATTTTTTAGAATGCTTCGGAGACATCCCCTAAGCTAACAATATCTTCTGGTCATTGTATCTAAGGAAAAGGCAGACATTTCAGTCTAAACCTTGCTTGGAAACATATACAGGCATCCCAAGGTAGAAAAGTTCTGCAACCTGTCTAACAGATTTTCATTATTTCAATATCGGCCCAAAGGGACGAAAAGAAACAAAGCATAAGAACATTTACTCGCTTCTATTTTTTCATCCGAGTGAATGAAGAACCTGGAAAAGAATGTGGAACACATCTTTATGACAAACAGATACAATATTAGTCAAATAACAGAAATATGTATTGACATTACAATTTATACACCTAGAGCCAATGCATTTTTGAGGAAAAAAAACAAAATGTATCAACAAATGAATAACTATGGCAAACTCGATTTCATTGATTTTATAAATTCCTGCATAATAAGCTTTACTATTTCCATTTATTTCCTAAAGAAAAAGGGTTCACTAGTGCACTTTTACACAATCTATGACAGGTCACCACTTTTCACATGTTTTACTAGTCAAGCATTTACAAGACCTGGATTGATAAAACAAAAAAATGATAGTTGTATGTTATACAGCGCTTGTCACACGCTTCATTGACATTATAGTAACTGGTCATGTCTAAAGCTCAGTGCCCATGCACATGTTTCGGGATATACATGATGGACTGCAGAAAGTTTGCTGTGTTCTCAGTATCATTATATTGTTTTGATATATCTTTGGATAGCTGAGAATTATTGATCATCTTCATGCAAGTTTTAAGTCCTCAGGTGAGTGCGCTCTCCTCGAGTCAGGCATATGTGTACTTACACGATATACAGGCGAGTTTCACTGCAGGCTGTCAATGTTGAAATGATAATTAGTTTAACAATTTGCAGATCTTTTATACCCTGGGATGCCCGTACTCATTTCCAAGCAAGGCTTGGACTAAAATATCTGTCACTTCCTTAGATACACTGACCGCAAGATATCGTTATCATAGGGGGCATCGCTGAAGCATTTGGGAAACAAAACTGTTCTTTTAATTTCAAAATTAATTCTTTTTGATTTACATTGTCAGCTTTAAGTCAATGGTTGATACAGGCAGTGTTTACATGAATCATCAAAGTTTGAAAAAGCTTCAATGAGAATTGAGATTGGTTTACATGTTTTTGATATTTGTAAATAGGCACAGTGTACAGTGTAATTGTATGAACTCAAATGTTTGTAAATTTTTGTTTTAGCAACAAAAAGGAGGCCCTAAAAAGCTCACCCTGCCATCAAAATCAACGGATGCTGATCTGGCCAAGATGCTAAGTTCTGGGTCCTTTGGAAACCTTGAGTGCCTCAGTCTGGCCTTCACGCATGTCACAAGTGCGTGTGCTAATGATCTGATCAAATTACCATCGTTACGTTACCTCAACTTGTGGTCTACACAGGTAAGATGTTAGAATTGGTCAGTAGTGATTTGTAATGAAGTACCTCCAGATAAACTCACAAACATTAAATTCATAATATTTCTAGCATATGTAACTTTGGTAAGTACTAGACACAATACACAACTCGGCTTCTCATTAGCTAGATTATTATATTGTTGCTATTTGTCTAAAATGTTATATTGCTTTTTTCACAGTTTGGTGACGCAGGTCTACAAATGATATCAGAGTACCTTCAAAAGTTACAAGTGCTGAACCTATGTGAGACTCCAGTCACTGACAAAAGCCTCATATGTTTGTCTGGTACGTTGACAGCAGCTCTACAGAGAGAAGTTTGTACCCTGTGCTATCACAGGCTGGTGTCGTTCATTATTTCTACTCCTCTTCAATGGATTAGGTTACAAAGATAAAAAGTTCCAAATTGAAATTCAGACCTATTTTATATTCATGGTGATTGTCATGGCAACCATCTCGAAAAAAACTTGCTGTTACTACTTCTTCTGAACAGAATATTGTATTGAAACAGGGCTTGCACTCAATGAACTTCTACTTGTGTTACATTCAAGATGGTTTTGGTTTGAAAAACATCTCACTACTTTTAATAAAAAGAAAGTCAACTTATTGCTAATTCTCCACAAGCATCATACAAATGTTAACTCTTAATCCACAAAGTTATGTGTTTACAAACTGTTGAAATTAGTTCAAATTTATTAAGTAAAATTTCTCCACAAAGACAAGTGACAACTAAATAGTGATTTTTCAGCTCACCTGGTCATGAACAGCTGATCAGATTTTAACCAAATTTGGACAGAAGCATCCTTTGGGGAAGTGGAATGTTTGTATAACAGGCCTCGAGGGCCTGAGGGGTCAAGGTCCCTTGGGCTGGAGGGGCAGGACCCTATTGATCTGAAACATGCTTGGCTGAATGGAAATTAATTGTACAAACAGTGGGTGTCAGCCCTTTAGGGGCAAGAGGGGTGGGACACAATAGGGGAAATAGAGAAAATTGTTTGAAAGCTGTCTTTTGTAGGAATGCCTGAATATTGCCCAAAACTGGTCTGAAGCATACTTGAGTAAAGGGGAATTAATTTTGTACAAATGGTAGGTGTTGTCCCTGTTGGGCAGGGGCGAATAGTGGAAATAGAGGAAATTCTCTAAAATCTATCTTTTGTGGAAATGCCTTGACTCTGTTCCAAAATCGGTCTGAAGTATACCTAGTTGAAAGGAACTTAAATTTGGTATCATGCAGGAGTCACCAGAGATGTGGGTCCCAATCGGATAAATGTGAAATCCTTCTTCCATACAAGGATATTGTCCAAGTTTGGTTTGAAGCATTTTATATGAATAGAATGCTCTGATTTCTGTTTGACCACAAGGCTTGGCCAAATAAGGAAATTATATGTCATATTTAGAATTCTTTGTTAAATGACTGAATAGCTGAATTAGCCAGGTGCAGGCCCCTTAGACCTCTTGTTTTGGAAAACCATGAAAATTTAGCTCCACCAAAATATATGATTTTACACTATATACAAAAAGCATAACATAACTTTAATCCTTTGGTTTTCCAGCCTTGAAAAACCTACGCAAACTGAACCTGAACAGTACAAGTTTGTCAGCATTGACATTTGAAGGGTTAAAGGTAAGATTGTAAAACATCTCATAAAGCTGCCCATAATGGGAATGTAAACTGACCTACATATTTCTCTACCATTTGAACAGGATCATGATTCTACTACATTGCCTTGCTTTTTGGTATACCATCTGCTTGGCAAATACTGCAAATAAGAAATCCATCAACTTCCTGTTATGATACTTGACATTTCATACTGTAAACATACTTTACTTGGTGATAAAACTTTATTGCAGTGTTATATAATATTTTTGGAAAATCAGCATGTAGATGACTTGAGACATCCACAATAATTGTATAACAATTACTGCAGTCAGACATTTCTGTGTGAAAAGTATTGAAAAATGATTGTCGCTAAAATATGTGTATTTGCTATAGTTGATATATATTATGAGGATGCTGTGACTTGATCGGCTGATAATTTTCATTTGACTACTGTAAACTTGAAAGTCAAAGTTAGCCATATTTAGAAACCTGGTATCCCTTTATGCTTACATGTTAGTAGAGAAATATCAGTAGCCGAGGCCTTTTGTAATTGAGAAGAAGTGTATTGAAGTCTTAAACAAACTTAACAGGTTTTTTTTTTATTTCCACTTGACTGCCGTGACCTTTAAAGTGAGTCAAGGTCTACCATAGTAACAAACTTTGTAGCCCTTCATACTAACATTGTCAAGGCCAAATATCAGTAGCCTCAGCCATTGTTGAAAAATAGATGACCTTTGACCCTGTAGCGAGCTTTTTAATTTGACCTCCTAGATATTTATATGTCCATTATGAAATTAAGCGCGGGTCTTTGTCTACCATAATATCATTTCAGAAAAGCTGTAAATACTTACTGAATTATGGCTGTTTTAAACTTTTGACATTTAAAGTCATATCGGCCATATAGAAATTGTAGTTTTTTTTAAATAAAATATCAGTGCACATCAATAGACCATGTCTCAAAAGACATTTTAAAAAACATTTAAACATATCTCTTTCCGATTTGGAAATTTAGATGTCACAAAACCATGGAAGCGGAATAAGAGTAACAGTGAGAAACAGAACAATAACATAAGGTCTTTTCATCAGTTGGTAAATAACCCTAATAAATCTATGAAAGTGAATCTCCAAAATGTTTTTAGAAGTCTAATGTTTGAAGTGATGTTGTGCTGTCACTAATTATAATTTGTTTTACTGATAGTAAGTTTATTGCAATTTTACATATATGACTATTAGATACTGTATTATATTTTATCAATATGTATAAACTATTTCACTGTTTTGTCATACTTGAGTGCTAATAGAATTATTGACTGATCCAGCATCACTGACATTAAGTGACAGACATTCTATCATTACCATTGGGTAAAATAAGGGATTATAAAGGGATGATAAGCTGATGTTAATATTCACAGTATCATGCTACAATTATTATCAGTATATTGATCACTTTCAACGAACTTTAAACTGAACATAAACAATAAATGGTTTCAATAATTTAGATTTTCAAGGTTGCTCACTTTATTTTACTAATGAAGATGGACAGGGGATCTTGATGGCTAAGTCCTTGTTTTAAGTTCATTCACTGCGCTCTGTCCTGCAATGTCTTTGTTTTAATTATCAGTTTTTATAATTATCAGATTACATGCTTCCATTCACAAACACTTTAGCCTCCATGATTCAAAATATTTTCACCATCATTAAAGTTTATTGATTCACATGTTGGAGTCATAATTTCAATTGTTTCAGACAAAACTTCCTGCCCTGCAGGAGTGTGATGTGCGTTACACTGATGCCTGGTCTCTGTAGGAAGGGTATACTGGAAGTCTTTCTTTTCACGGATTTTTCACACCAAATTCAAGAGTGAACGACCTACATCTGTGGATCTACTTTTCTTCTAGGTGTCGTGGTTGACAGCTAGTGTTTCTAGAGCTACCGTTCATGCTGTTTCTGGTATCTTTGTTTCCTTGAATTGGAAAATTCTTGAATGTGTGTATATGTACGTGTTCAGGACTCAGCCGACAGAATCTATGGACCAACTCCTACAAACAGTGACTTCTGCAAGTCAAGTCTGGATATATGTACAAAGTCCAGGTGAAGAGTTGCTCTTTGACTTTAATTTCTTATCCTTTGGATGTAAGAGGATTTCTGACCACTAAAGTGCTTTCAGCTGTTGAGAATGAACTATGATGTCAAAGGGATGGCAACTCATGTCTAATTTCCAGTTCAGTCTTATGATATAATGTGCGTAGCGGGGAAAACCAAGCCTTTGTTGTCAACGACTACAATGCACGCAAAGGAAACCATATATGGTCATCATTTCAGATGTGGAATACTAAGTAATGTCGTAAGATGCTGATTCCTAATGTAAAGTGAAGAACTGAGTTTAGAAGTGACCACCAATTAAGTAATTAAATAAAGTGAACTTTACTTCATCGTTTCCACAATCTCTCTGTCACGATCAGGGTCACTGACCCAATAGAGGTCAAGTCTATTTATAGTCGTCATGACCTGTGTTTATAGCGAAAATCCTTGGGACGGTGCCCAGTGAGAAGCACCACAATGCAGATGATGTTGTACATAGTGTTGATAAATGTCTCTCAGACTGACATTTATGGTATTGTCCTGGATGTATTTATGTTTTGCTCTCAAAGAGTTACCAAAATTTCTGACGATGACGATGCTGTCATCTTTGTTGTATTATTGTCTACCCCAAGTCATCTGTCATGTCATCAGTCATTCATGTCTGTCTGTCTGTCCAAAGTGAGAAGTGTCATCAAATCGTGTCTCACATGCCTTTATCTGTTCACGTAACTTGTGTCTCTGTCATTCATCTGCCCTCAGTAACCATCTTGTTTGTATAACATAGATTTTTTATTCATGATCAGGAAGGCAATGTAGACAGGTTATAACAATGATCAGGTTAGGTGTCCAAATTTTTTTTTTTTTTTCGTTTTTGGTCAAATAGATCCTGGAGTAATGTCATGACCGAGTATAGAAGACAAATACACACAAAGAAAAGCTGTACGAGGGGAGATAACCCTTGTGGAATTAGACTTCAAGAGTTTTATAAATGTTAGGGTGACTGGATTATGAAATAATTGTCATCAAATCATTTTTGTGTTGCACATATATTTTTCTTATTTATTTGTACCATTTCATGTGGAATCAAGCTAGGTATTTGAAGTAAAATACATTACGATCAACTATATTGTCTTAAATTGACAAATTAGTGAAAGCAAGATTAAGGCATTGGGTACCTTTTCTGTTGGCCCAGTGCAGGCAGCAAAATCAGTATTAAGGAGATGCATTTACTTTGGTTAGCTGGATTTTGTAGAAAGTACAGCTTCAACAGTCTTTTGTTAGATCTTATATAGTGTAGAACTTTAGATGTTTATAAGTATAGAGTTTGAATACTTCTTTTTATTTTTTGGATAAAAAGCTTTAAATTAACAAACATAAGAATATGGCAAATTTCACAAAGTAATTGAGTGAAAGATCTTTAGAATTTGGCATCATTGGGCCCTGCAACAAAACCTGCAGCCAGGGTCAGGGTCTTTTTGAGGTGAGTCACCTTGTAGTAGCTAGTAGTTACCTCACTGAACAACATATATGAGGCTTGTTGTATGCCATCCAGAGCAACTAGGGTAAAGTGTCTTGCTCAAGAGTATGACTACTTCAGCAAAGACCATTTTGTTTTCCAGCTTCCTTAGAAACACCAACTGCCACAGGTAAGGAGCTTTTAACTACCTACATCAGTTATTCACTTGAGCTTAAATAGACCAAGTCTGTAATCTACTGAGTTATAATATTTCCTTGGAACAAATACAGAGGCATAAAATTACAAATACTTTCACTGTGAGCACCAGTAAAAGATCGTAATGGTTATGCTGCATTAGGAACAAATATCAGGGACTTTGTGATAACATTCTGTAAAGAAACAGTAAGTCTCAAAGTTGTGAAGAAAAATCTTAAAAACTCCAGACTTCTAGCATACATGCACTAGCGAATAGGGGTTTGTGCGTAACCTTCTAGATGGATGCCAGGTTGACAAAGATACATGCATACTATCACATGACATTTGAACTAGTGGTTTAGGGAAAGATACCAGCTAACCTTGTTAGGAAGTCTGGTTTTCGGGCATAGCACCAAGTATTAAAAGCTAACCTTGTTGAGAAATCTGTGGTTTCAGGGAAGGTAACAGGCATTAACAGCTAACCTTGTTAGGAAGTCTGTGGTTGTTGGGAAGGTACCAGGTTATTACAACTAACCTTGTTAGAAAAGCTGTGGCTTTGGAAGATACCAGGTTATTACAGCTGACCTTGATAGAAAAGCTGTGGCTTTGGAAGGTAACCAGGTTATTACAGCTAACCTTGTTAGAAAAGCTGTGGCTTTGGAAGGTACCAGGTTATTACAGCTAACCTTGTTAGGAAGTCTGTGGTTGTTGGGAAGGTACCAGGTTATTACAACTAACCTTGTTAGAAAAGCTGTGGCTTTGGAAGATACCAGGTTATTATAGCTAACCTTGTTAGAAAAGCTGTGGCTTTGGAAGGTACCAGGTTATTACAGCTAACCTTATTAGAAAAGCTGTGGCTTTGGAAGGTACCAGGTTATTACAGCTAACCTTGTTAGAAAAGCTGTGGCTTTGGAAGATACCAGGTTATTACAGCTAACCTTGTTAGAAAAGCTGTGGCTTTGGAAGGTACCAGGTTATTACAGCTAAGCAAAAGCGTTTTAACCAGCATTGCTGTTTTTTCTGTTTTGGAAGATTATCTGAAAGCCTGCATTCAATTTTTAAAAATAAAAAAAGATGTCCATATAGTTTGCCAGCAAGTCAGTGATTTATAATTTCATCTAATGTTGATTCTAAATCCTATGATGAATAGAACTCATTCCATTACATAATGTTAACATATTCAAAATAAAAAAATCATAAATCATTTAGAAAGGAAGCCTCCTTCCTATATCATCATTTAATTCAATGTACTGTTTATATCAGTACAGTGTACTGTTGACTATGTACAGTGTACTGTTGACTATGTAATATGTACTGTTGACTATGTACAGTGTACTGTTGACTATGTAATATGTACTGTTGACTGTACAGTGAACTGTTGACTATGTACAGTGTACTGTTGACTATGTACAGTGTACATTTGACTATACACAATGTACTGTTGACTACGTACAGTGTACTGTTGACTGTACAGTGTACTGTTGACTATGTACAGTACACTGTTGACTCTGTACAGACCAACCTGTGCATGCATGTAATCATAAATGCTTTATATAGAAATATTTTTTGTTGAAATTTTTAGAATTTATTTCTTCCCGTTTGTGTTATTTTGTGCAATAACTGCTGTTTTTTAGTTAAGTTTTAGCTACATATATATGTAGTGCCATTTTGGTACTGCCCAGAGTGCTACACTTGCTGTGTTGTATTCAGAGGGAAATTCACTGCCTTTTAATAAGTAACACAAGGGTACAACCATTTACATTTGAGCTGAATATGATATAAAAATCGATGTTATTTTTAAAACCTTGTTTGATAATACTTTTTCCAGGGCCTGAACCATAGTAGAGAGATATGAAAATAAGTTTTGAAATACAGAAATTAAAGACATTGATAATGCATGGAATTACTGCTGATGTTGTTTCATGGCAATATTAACAAGATATACTGGTAATTAAGCTGAAGTGTTGATAAGCAAGTTATTTTAAACATGCTGTTTTTAATATGTTAAGATTTCTTCTGCTTGTTTCTTTGTCTTTATTAGCGATTTATGTTTGAATTTTTTTTTCTGTGATATATAATTTTATAATAATATTGTAATTGTTGTTTAATGCTGTATGTTGAGAAATTATTAAGATTTGTATATACTATTTTTGGGAGAAAAAAACATATACCATGTGTTTTTATTTTGTTGAATGGGTGGGTGTTTGGAGGGAAATGTTTATTTTTTTTGATGTATACAAGTATTACTCTGCTTTCATTGATACACTGCTTAGTTTGTATATGTAATTTGTATGGTTAACTTGGTCGCTTTTTGTACAACTGCTACGAAAGTCTAAGTATGTTTGGTGCAAACAGAAAATCTAAATGTTTTTATTATTCAAACATTTCTTGTGCCTCATTTAAAAGTATTATATAGTTGCTGATAGTGAAGGGGTCAGTTTTCCAAACAGATAGAGAAAAGAGCGTTTTGATCGTGTTTCGAGTTCAATGATATAAAAGATTTTGTGTTTTCAATATAATCAAAGGAAAATTGTTATTGTGCCATTTCAATATCAATCGTTTCGTAAAATTTAAGTATAAATTGTTACTGTAACATTTCAGTTTCAATTGTAACAGTATTATTTCAGTAAAAAGTGTTACAGTAACATTTCCGTATGAATTGTTACAGTAAAATTTCAGTATAAATTATTACAGTAAGGTTTCAGAACAAATTGTTACAATAACGTTTCAGTATAGATTGTTACAGTAACGTTTCAGTATAGATTGTTACAGTAACGTTTCAGTATAGATTGTTACAGTAACATTTCAGTATGAATTGTTACAGTAACATTTCCGTATGAATTGTTACAGTAAAATTTCAGTATAAATTATTACAGTAAGGTTTCAGAATAAATTGTTACAGTAACGTTTCAGAATAAATTGTTACAGTAACGTTTCAGAATAAATTGTTACAGTAACATTTCAGTATAGATTGTTACAGTAAGGTTTCAGTAAATATTGTTACTGCAGCATTTCAATATAAATTGTTATTGTAACTTTATCATATAAATTGTTACAGTAACACTTCAGTATTAATTATGGTACAGTTGCATTTCTGTATAAATTGTTTCAGTAACATTTCAGCATGAATTGTTAAAGTTACATTTTAGTATGAATTGTTACTGTGACGTTTAAGTATAAATTATTACTGTGACATTTCAGTTACATACTGGTTTCCTAAATTAATCCATTTTTGGAATATTATGAGTGCAGTCCTGTAGATTTTTTGTATCAATCTTGATATTTCAGTTTCTTGGCTCGTTACTCAGAGTATGATTTAGTTTTTGCTGTAATGATTTGTTCAGTAGAAAAAAGAAGGATCAAAAATTCATATGAAGATTAAAATTCACCCATCTTTAATTCTCCATTTATAAACTTCCACTTGACTTTTTCATTGTAAACCATGAATCTAAATAAATTTTCAAAACTATCAAGTTTTGTTGTTTTATCTTTTAGACCTTGGAAATACAGATACGGGGATTACATCTATTTTGATTGGTTATATTCTAAGCATTTTGAACAACACCTTTAAATTTGGATTGGTACCAGAAAAGTACTGTCAATGAATGGATAAAATTACATCACATACAGTAGGACTCTCCTCCCTTGACTCAACAGTGATGCATGTAAGCTGCCAATAGACTGGAAAATCGGAAGAAAAGTCAGAAAATTGTTTTAGACTACCATCAAATGGTATGTGGGTTGTTTAGATCTTCTTGTATCCATCATCTCCTAGTCTGCTCTGTAATAATTCTTGTTATTGCTATTTTTTGAGAAGTTGTGGACAGATCTTTCTCAAATTTCATATCATTGGTTTCCATTGGTCCCTAGCGGTACGCTGTAAAATTTTGAATCTGATTAGAAAACGAAATGCTGGCAGGCCATCTTTGGTTTTGACAATGATAGATTGTTATCATATTTTCTGGAGAAGCATTGGATCATTTTGAAAATTTTCCCTTGGTCGATCCCCAGATATGCATAATCCATATTGAGAGGGAGTCAAAAAATATTGACAGGTGGAAATCTTTGGGTTTAAAAAAGAAGTTTGGTATCACTATTTCTTCAGAAGTTTAATTTATTTCTCTTCAATTTCATAAGCTAATTCTCCTTATCCCCTCGTTGTAGATGGTTGATTTGAGATTGATAGAAAAGTGAAAATATCAAACTGATGAAGATCATACCATGATGGGTCCAAGATCCCAATGAGATCTCTTGTATTTAAAGGTCAAAGAAAAACAATGCTACATTTGGTATTTATCAATATTTAATACTTGAAATGAACCAAACAATGGCAATCAATGTATGGTGAAAATCGTCCGATAGATTCAAGTCTGCTATTGTTTCTATGTTCAAGAACTTGAGACCTATTAACAGGTGGTATGCTAGGCTGATGCAGCCTCATATGCTGGTACAAGATGCAGTTTTGGTACCAGACCATAATGTCCCTGTAATTCCCCAATCCACCAGGACTTCGAATCAAACTCTTTGCTGATGATATGGATCATATCGCCTTTTTTAAATGTCAATTCATCATTGGTACCACCGGAAAAGTCCCATTTACCATAATAGAGATTCTCAAAGTCTTCTTTCGGATTAACAATCTTACGTTTCTTTGGTTCGGGAGTGTCGACATTGGTCTTTGGGGGTGGGAGAGGGGGAAGGGGACTTCTGTTTTTAGGTGGGGGACGAGGCTGTGAGTCTGGTACAGGTGGAAGCGGTTTCCGCCCCGAGGCTGATGGGGTTGTCGGAGGTAGGACACGAGACGGAACCACAGGAGCTGCCATGCCACCACAATCATCATATGTTTCCTGGTCATTGTCATCAGGGACAGGTGCAGTGTCATCATAGATTTCCTGATCCTCAGGTACCGCAGTCTCCTCTTGTGTCGGCTCCTGTGATAGGGGCTCCTCAATTGGTTCGTAAATAACATCCGCATTATCTGAAGGTCAAAAGGTCATTATCTTATACTGATTTGAGCACTGAAAACTGAAGGAAAGTAGACTTGTTTGCCACAATGCTAACATGCCATTTCTCTGTTTGTCTGCCAAGCTCTATCATTTATACAGGCCATACATGCTATATCCAGACAGTTCAGTATTGGAATGAATTTAAAGATACCCTCGATAAGGGTTATGTAAAATGAACCTACTCCAATACAGACTGCCCAACCATCAGATTAATGCATGCTGACATAACTTCATTTGTGATGATTGTAATTTTAGTGAATTTAATAAAATTCTAAAGAAAACGGTATGATGAGTTAAATTTTTAGGGGCATAATTCTCGAAATATATCATTAGAACATGGTGACATACATATATCTAGTTTCACAAAATTCAGTTATTTGAGCAATTTTGTCTACAGGCCAACAATCGTACTCTGTAGAACCACTTATTTTCATCAGGGATTTACTCTTGTTGTTTTCATGTGTTTCCTTCTTTTAGAATTCACAAGTCAGTGAATTTATAAATCAAACATAAGTTTCTAGTATAAGTGAAAGTTATCAGCTCTATTTATCCTCAAAATCAAGTGTCTACAGATTAACTGTCTTTTATCCTCAAAATCAAGTATCTACAGAATAACTGTCTTTTATCCTCAAAATCAAGTGTCTAAAGAATAACTGTCTTTTATCCTCAAAATCAAGTGTCTACAGAATAACTGTCTTTTATCCTCAAAATCAAGTGTCTACAGAATAACTGTCTTTTATCCTCAAAATCAAGTGTCTAAAGAATAACTGTCTTTTATCCTCAAAATCAAGTGTCTACAGAATAACTGTCTTTTATCCTCAAAATCAAGTGTCTACAGAATAACTGTCTTTTATCCTCAAAATTAAGTGTCTACAGAATAACTGTCTTTTATCCTCAAAATCAAGTGTCTACAGAATAACTGTCTTTTATCCTCAAAATCAAGTGTCTACAGAATAACTGTCTTTTATCCTCAAAATCAAGTGTCTACATAATAACTGTCTTTTATCCTCAAAACCAAGTGTCTACAGAATAACTGTCTTTTATCCTCAAAATCAAGTGTCTACAGAATAACTGTCTTTTATCCTCAAAATCAAGTGTCTACATAATAACTGTCTTTTATCCTCAAAATCAAGTGTCTACAGAATAACTGTCTTTTATCCTCAAAATCAAGTGTCTACATAATAACTGTCTTTTATCCTCAAAATCAAGTGTCTACAGAATAACTGTCTTTTATCCTCAAAATCAAGTGTCTACAGAATAACTGTCTTTTATCCTCAAAATCAAGTGTCTACAGAATAACTGTCTTTTATCCTCAAAATCAAGTGTCTTTGGAATAACTGTCTTTTATATTCAAAATCAAGTGTCTACAGAATAACTGTCTTTTGAAAAACCACAAAATTTTGAGCTTCATAAAAATAAATCATCTCACAATAAAGTTTAGGAGAAAAACTACCATGGAAAATTATCTGATCAGAGAAGTAGATGCTGTCTTAAAAACTCATTCTTAAATGTGATATATTATAGACTTACCATCATATAGCTTCTGTGCTCCTGTAACTTTCTGTATTGCAGATTTCCATCTATTGTAGTCATCAGAACTGTGCGCTACAAACTAAATTAAAAAAAAAAACAATGTCATTGATGAAAAATAAATCTGATTTTAATAACGGAGACGGAAGTAGATAAGAAATTTAAAATTAGAATATCAAAGTATTTTTCTGATTGGTGTTAACGAACATGACAACTGCTATTGGTTAGTTTCAGTGATGTTAAATGTTTTTAGCTTTCATGTTTCAAATTCTCATTTTACCGAAGTTTGAGGAAGAAATATATTTTCGATGGAAGTCATTGAACAAACTATGGGTTATCTCTATAAATTTTATTTTCAAAGTGATGTAAAGTCATTAATTTTTTGTGGAGAATTATTTTCATTGATTTTGAGGGCTCTCTAAATATATATGTCCTTGAATCAATAGACTGTTAAAATCAGTACTAGTAGATTTCTTAAATACTATTTATCCATAAAATCAAGTGTCAACGAAATAGTATTCTCTTGAAAACCCACAAAAATTGAGTCCCACGAGAGTATCAGATTTAACAGTATCATTGTTTCATGACTTTATTCTGTCCTGGAAAAAGCAAAAAATAAAAAAAAAAAAATAAAACCCTTCCAAAATAACACCCAACAGAAATGTGATAACAAAAATAATGCCCTTTCATGTACATTTGAACATACCTGGAATGATCTCTTCCCTGTCCCAACAATCTCAAAACAGAGCTCCTTCTTGTTGGCTTCTTTGACAAGGTCTGGTGCAGGCTGGAAGCTATAGCCAGTGAGACAGAATGCTCCCTTTTGTTTCTTGTCTTTCTTACCCTCATAATAATACAGCCTGTCATCTTTGATCACACACCACCGCTTCTGAAGTTTTGCCATCATCAGTAAACCTGTAATGATATGTAAGTAAAGTAGATACAAGCACTGTGAAATCAGTAATTTTTGTAGGGTTTTATTTTTGTTGGTTTCAAGGTACTCATATATCCATGAATCACTGAGCTATATTCATCTACGAAACCATGAAAATTGAGTCGCATTAAAATAGGTGATAACAAATTTTAAAAGTCAAAATCCAAGATGGTGGTCTGTCAGCCATTTTGTCTTTCTGATAAGACCCAAAATCAAATGGACACATCCAGGGATTGAGAAGAGCCTATACGTGAAATTTTAGACAGATCCATCCAACTCTTTTCAAGAAATAGCGGTAAAAATCTTGCAAAGTCGAAATCCAAGATGGTCACCTTGTCAGTCATTTTGTTTTTCTGATCAGTCCCAAAATTTAATGTGCACAACTAGAGACCAAGGGAAATCTACATATGAAATTTGAGAGTGATCCATTAAGTACTTTTCAAGAAATGTAAACTTAAACCACGGGTGTCCAGGGAGACAGGTAAGCTTAAACCACGGTTGTCCAGGGAGACAGGTAAGATTAAACCACAGGTGTCCAGGGAGACATGTAAACTTAAACAACAGGTGTCTGGAAAGACATCAAAAAGAAAGAATGCAAACATAATTTTCCATAAATTTTCAAATCACCTTTTTTCTGTTTCTTTTCCAGGAATCCTGAGATCACATCATCCTTTAAGTCTGCAGCTGCCACCTCTGGGAATTCTGGAAATGACCAATTGATTTTTTATTTAACACAAAAATCCAATCAGTTCACTACCAAATCTACTTTCAGTTTTTATATTAGTGATATATTCACATTTATGGTCTACATTTCAAATCAGTCCCATAGACATTTATTTCTCTGGATTGGAAAAGTTATCAGAACGATATTTACATGAACCTGATAAAGATAACATGCCCTGCTACCATCAAATTGGTCAAATTTAACCTTGACCTATGATTGACCTTGATTGACCTTCCATGACACTTACTTTGATCAGAATATGGATCTTCCCCATCATCTGTTGTTGAACTTCCACCTGTCCGGGATGACTCATCTCCTTTGTCAACATCTGCAGCACAGAAGACTACTTCAACAACATATGTCATATCAACATACAAACATGCATCATATAAAATAGATGTTGTTGTGATACATCAAAACAGGTGTTACTGTGACATGTCAAACCATGTTGTCGATTTTTCAACATATCAAATGGGTGTCAATTTGATATGTCAGACAGATGTCATTGTGTCATGTCTAACAGGTGTCAGTGACATACATCAAAAGGGTGTTGTTGTGACACAATTGACAGGTGTCACCATAATATACAGTGAAAGTGATGGCTCAAATGATTGAGTTTTGAAACTACTTAGACATATAAAAAGCAAAATCCATTTGAAAAACTATGTTTACAAATTACAGATCATTTTTAAGAAAATTGTTATTTAGTTCCCAGAACAAACAAGATCCAAGAGGAGTCTTGGTGCTCACTATTGTTTGGTTTTAACATGTCACTTAAACAATCGTCCTCCCTCTTTTCTCTTCTTTTCTCTCATTTGGTCTGAAGGATATGAAATTATAGAATTCCCCTTAAAAAAAATAGCGATAATTATCTTTACTTGTCAAATCACAGGTGGATGTCTGTCATCCATTTTGTTTTTCTGGTCAGTCCCAGAACTAAAACTACAAAACTAAAATCTAAGGAGAACCTACAGATGAGAGGTATTTCACAATCAAAACCAAAATGGATATCAGACATTTTTTGTTTTCCTGTTCACTCCCAAAATCATTAGGACAGAGCTGAGAACCAAAGGAAACCTACATAATTTGAGAAAGACCTACACTGTACTTCGTAATAATTAGTAATAAGCTTTCATTGTCAAAATCCAAAATGGCCACCTCTCAGTCATTTTGTTTCCTCATCAGTCTAAAATTCAAAGGCCACAATAAGGGGTCAAAGGAAACACACATATGAAATTTAAGAAAGATTAATCTTGTACTTCTGAACAAGTATGAAGCAATAAGAAGCTTTCATAGGCAAAATCGAAGATGTACACTAGTCAGCCATTTTGTCTCATAATCCAATAGGTACAACCAGGGATGAAGTGGAACCAGTATAGCTACCTATCAAATTTTATGAGAGCGATCTAACAAGTATTTGCTGAGAAATAATCTGTTAGCTGTTTGTTTGTTGTATCAGTCCAGAAATCAAAAGAGAATAATTTGACATCAAGGGAATCCCTTATATCAAATCTGAGAAAGATTCTTCTCATATTTCTCACGAAATAGCAGTAACAACAATTGTTTACAGATGGATAAAAGGACAAGTGATCTAAAATCATTGCTTATTATAGAACATACTTATTGACAAAAAATGTGCTTGTGACTTCTGTTATAGTTTAAGTTATATGCTACCAAACATATAACCCTCATTCTAAAACAAATCAAAGGATAAATGAATGTTAAATCTATGATTTGTGTTGATACTACACTTTGTGTGTGTGTCAAATTATCTCCCTTGAAATATTTCATCAGCATTACATTGAAGATAGAGGACACATATTAAGTATCTTTTCTCTTCGTTGAGTTATAAATTAGGGTACATGCAAGCATGATACCTGTTACCTAATTTGTAAACATGCATCCATGGATGAATAGCCTCAATATCCAAAACCATGACATCAGCTTCACTCACATGCTTTTTGGGGAAATGAAATGAGTGATAAACACCTACAGGATTTAGATTTCTATCACATCATTAAGACAGTTTGTAACATATACTACAAGTTATACCAGGAATACCATGCATGCAGAAATGCTAATCAATGTGGATAATAAAAGTACAAATCTTTATCCTTCTCTAATACATTATATTAAACATTTTTATAATTCTACATATAAGTAAATCTTATAGAAAGTAAATCTATTAATAACAATTTTTATAACTTTTTTTATTAATAATATTTTATCCTGAAGTTTAGTGATCAACACAACATTTCCTCTCTCTCAAAGTCAGTGGGTTGGCCTGTCATGGGACAATTCAAATTTTGTTGTTAATTTAACTGGTTTCTGCTTATATTTATGACTGTCCATTTACCTTAAGTTCATCACAGGAGGAACTTAAGAAGAAATCTTAGATTAGCATTATTCCTCAAATTCTATTGCGAAAAAAAAATAGAAATTAAGAAATCTTTTGCAGTTTTAGAACCTATAAATATGAGTGGTCTTATGACTAGATGGATAGAGATTACAATGACTTCCAAATTTGGAATATCCAACTTTTTTTACATGTATTCTCAAGAGAATGATAATATAGAACAGCAGCAGCACATAACAGAAGATTGTTTGTTTAGCATGCAAGTTTGATAGCAGTGTAACAAGAATAGAAAAATGCATGGCAAGACTAGGGCTTGAACCAGGGACTCTCCGAATGCTTGACAGATGCTCTACCAATCCAGCTACTGACAACCAACCCAGTCCAGTTCCACAACAGCAGATCACACAATATAGCACATTGGGGTATTGATTTTCAAGTCAAGCTAAATTCTGATTCTTCTGATTGGAAACAGTTGCAGACTGACAAAGTATTTTTTTAAATCTGTTACCTGAATAAGCATGCAAAATTGATTTATATTGGCAAAAAGCCAATATTCTGTGACCAAATCTCACTCGAGATGTAACAAAATGTCAGCAATCATTCGAATACAAATATGTGACCGGGGAGACCACTGTCATAATGGGGAGATCACTCTAATACAAAAAATGTGACATGGAAAATCACTTTCATACAAAATGTGACAGGGGAAATCACTCTCATACAAAATGTGACAGGGGAAATCACTCTCATACAAAATGTGACAGGGGAAATCACTCTCATACAAAATGTGACAGGGGAAATCACTCTCATACAAAATGTGACAGGGGAAATCATTCCCATACAAAATGTGACAGGGGAAATTATTCCCATACAAAATGTGACAGGGGAAATCACTCTCATACAAAATGTGACTGGGGAAATCACTCTCATACAAAATGTGACAGGGGAAATCATTCCCATACAAAATGTGAAACAGGAAATCACTCTCATACAAATTGTTGCAAGGGATATCACTCTTATTCCAAATGTGAAAGTTGAGATAGATTGCATTGCTTGCCATTGTTTTTCAATTTTCCACAAGACTTCATTTTGAAAATATGACAAGTCAGGGCTATCAACCATTTTGATTTGCTGATATTTATATTCAACATGGGGTATTCCTTTCCAAGTTGACGATTTTTTGTGATTTTTCTATTTTCTATTCAACAATCACAACAATGTAGTCAAATATTTATTTGTATAAGGCTTTATTACATTACTGGTATATTCTTCGGAATATTTGCACTAACCACTGCATTTATTGTTTAAACTGAATGTGATTGTTTCAAGAAGACATTCAACATACCTGTTATTTCAACATTTCATCCAACGATGAAAACTTGGGGGCCAGTTACAGTGTATATATAAGTAAGATGATTTGAACAATGCATTGCATTGAAAATACCTTATCTACTACAAAACATAAAGTTAAACCTTTTGAGAGTTTAAAAGTTCACATGTTGACCTCATTTCCAGTCCATAACAGTATGGAATCCATGTTGTGGTAGCTTGTTTTACCATGGTAAGAACTAAACAAATGCAAAACTACAACTGTAAAACTACAAATAATAGTTGCTGTAATTATATAATATTAATAGTGTTATCAAACATTTGGGAAAGGCAAAAATGCAAAACACTAAGAAAAAAAATTTAAAAAGTAATGTAACATGACTCCTGATTGGCTTTTTTCATGCACCATCAGCCAATGAAACAGGCTCTTACCAAGGAAAGAAACTGACAGTCTGTTTTTCCAAACAGACCAAGTTGATGGAGAGGAGGAATTTGATGCTAAAAGTATGACAAGAAAAATAATGTATAAAGAATATATCTGTGCTGGGTGTTAGAAAAGTAAAGAAAAAAAATTAATAGAGATCCAATAATGCCAATTATAAACTCATTAAAGCTAATGAAATTCTGTGACATCACATTACATATAGATAGTAATATCTTTCTTGTACATGTCTTAGTAAATGCATTGTATATGTTTTTACCTCTGGGATGGGGTGATGAGGGGGAGGTAATGGGATGGAGAAATGGCACTTTATCATCAGGATAATCTGAACCTGGTTACAACTGTGTAAATATTTTTTTTTTTTTTTTTGTAAACTTCTTTTTATGGTAATTATGAAGTCATCTCCTCAATGGACAGGTTCTTTATAGACAGGTGTTTTGTAGATAAGTCTTGTTTATAAAGAGGTGTTTTATAAACAGATGTTTTATAGACAGGTGTTGATTATAAACAGATGTTTTATAGACAGATGTTGATTATAAACAGATGTTTTATAGACAGATGTTTGTAGACAGGTGTGTTATAGACGGGTGTTGTTTATAGACATATGTTTAACAGACAATAGTTATAGACTGTAGTCGTTTATAGACAGATGCTTTATAGACAGGTGTTGTATAGATGGGTGTTGTTTAAAGACTGATGTTTGTAGACAGGTGTTGTATAGATGGGCGTTGTTTATAGACAGATTTTTGCAGACAGGTGTTGTATAGATGGGTGTTGTTTATAGACTGATGTTTGTAGACAGGTGTTTGATTTTTGCAGACAGGTGTTGTATAGATGGGTGTTGTTTATAGACTGATGTTTGTAGACAGGTGTTGTATAGATGGGCGTTGTTTATAGACAGATTTTTGCAGACAGGTGTTGTATAGATGGGTGTTGTTTATAGACAGGTGTTGTATAGATGGGTGTTGTTTATAGACAGGTGTATTATAGACAGGTGTTGTTAATAGACAGGTGTATTATAGACAGGTGTTGTTTATAGACAGATGTTTTCTAGACAGGTGTTGTTTAGACAGATGTACATTTGTAGATACAATTCATTATAGATTTATTTTGTAGATATTTACATGACTAGAATAGAAAATTCAGTCCTAGAATATGTTGTTTAAATATAAATCAGAGAAAAACAACATTTTAGAGGACAGATGTCTAACAATGAGTCAATTTGGAACAATAAGTACATACGTATAAATATAGATAAGATTATTTTTACCTGTTTTGGTTTTATCCGCTGCTAACTGCGGGTAGTCATCCAATAGCTTGTTAATCTTGTCCACCAGACTTTGTTTATGCTCTAAACAGGACTTGGAAAGTTTTTCATTTTTCAGTGTCTCTTGCAGAAAGCTATCCACTTCTGTAAAGATATTTAAACATGAGATTCAGTGATTCCATGTAAAATATGTGTATATATGTTAACTTATTATGACCTATGTCCAGTAGAAGTCTGTCGCACAAGTATCATTTTCTAGATTTTTGCCATGAAACTGACATCACTTGGAGTACTAATGTAGAGTTTGTGGTTATCTAGCAGAAAACTTGATCCAGAACCCTTCATGTATATGACGGGAACAGAGATCATATTCCTGCCAAGCACTCCAAAAGGAATCAAATTTTTAAATGTCAGTCATAATAATCCATGGCACTACAACATGCTTGTACTCTATCAACATCACGAGTGACAATAACCCATGTTGACCTAACCTACTACATATATATACACTTGATAGGACTTCCTGATTATGATATCATATGACTGTCATTGATACATACCATACTAATGTCTAAACTGCTTACAATACATACAGTTTAAGTTTGGTCTGGTTACCAACTGAATCGGCTAAAATACTGAAAGTGTCCATCCATCCATCCACCCACCCCTCAATCCATCCATCCATCCATCCATCAAACCATACATCCATCCATCCATCCATTCTCCATCCACCCACCCACCATCCAGTTTTAGGTTTTATCTGTAGCATGACTTTCTTCCCTTTGATTTCCTTCAGGAGGCTGATATTAAACTTAGGGAACGTTCTCAGTATCTTTATCTGTTACAGTTATTTCTCTACTGATTTAATTCACTCACCTGCTTTGCTAATATTTTATCTCCTTCCAAAAATCATTTGGATATCTGTGCTCTTTAATTTGTTTCTATTAAACCCTCTGATACTATAGACAAGAATTTCAAGTAATGCCAGTTTCACTGCATTCCAATTCTTTGAGTACACATTGAATACTAACTTGTTACCAAGTACTGCAGTAATTATATGTGTACCTCTGGTCCTCCTTCAATTATGTCTTAGCCCTAAAAATCTACTGCTTTTTAATCTTAGACTGCATGTGCCTAATATCTACCTGTTTATATTTGTTTAGATTGTATTCAATATTTTCCAATACCCAGGTACAATTGTTCTTGAAAGCCATATTTCCCTCCTGCTTGAAATACCATAGTCCTTAACTCATATGTACATTTTGATAAAATCAACCTTTGCCACCCGATATGAAGACCAGATTCCTCATAAGGATCATGTTGCATGGCAGTGTTTTTTCTTAACTTTTCAAACTACCTATTCTTTTTAATTATTTTGGGCAAGTCAATACCCTTTGGCTTAATAGGAAGATAACTTCTACCTGTCTATCTGTTGATCTTACCCTTTTGATTTCAACTGATGAGCCATGTCTTTAACTTCTGTACATCATAAGCATCAAATGTTTAACTTACTACACTATAATTTGTATGCTAATCATTTTGTACCATTAGAACAAAAGACATTTCATTTATTGAAAACATTTGTCTCTTTTCGGCTGGGATGAAGGAGACTGGCCCAAACAGCTGTAAAAATATATGTATGTATATCATCTCAACGTTAGTTCCAGACTGTTATGTAATTCGGAACTGCCATTTTGTCAAAGCGTATCACATGAACTGTTGACCTGTGTGACATCACAACCTGATAATTTTGGTTGCTGTAACATATCACACTTCCAGAAAGAATAAGAAAAAATGTGATTTAAACCATTCATCATAAAACATTATGAGTATATATTCCACTGGAAAATTTGTGTATCTTTTCTAAATATACATTTTTACATGACAAACATTCTCCCAGACATGATGGAATAATCTATCAAGCTATCCTCAGATGCCAATGTTTTGTTGTCGTCTCCTGCTGTCATACGAACACAAACAGACAATGAATATTAGGCAATGCCTTCTTGCAATATTCTGGCTTCGGAAGTCATATTTCTTTTGATGACTTATTTCTGATTTTATTTAAATAGCGAGTTGTAGAGAGATATGAAAAATGAACTTTATCTAAATACTTTGTGCAATAAGAATAAAGTTTACTAAGAAATATGCATATGGCTCATTTGTACATGGGTACTCCTGGGTCACTGTAAGCTAAGTTAAGCGTCTTAATGATAAATGATTTCATCAGAAACGGAAGTTTGTCATTTCAGACGAGCGAATTTGAGGTCGGTTCTGTGGATAGTTTTCAGAAAAACACAGGTATCTCATCTATTAGTTTTTTTTAATAAATCTTACAGTATGAACAAATTTGAATTTATTTATGCATTTGTTTGGTGGCAATTCGACGACATAGCATAGCTAGCGAGAAATGTTTCTTATGAGATCCGAAACTAATGCCCGGAGAATACCACTATATGTTTACGTCAGTCTGTACATCGTTCATGCTGATGAGAAATGCTCACAACAGGTTCAAGAAGACTTTTCTCGTATCTACGTAGGTTATAAAAAACCACTACCAAATTCTAAAATATATCCCATTGTGTCTAAAAGGCGTTATAGATACATACAAATTTAATAGATATCTTCAGACTAATTTTACATCCAAACTGTTTGAGTTAGCCTCAACTGTCACTCGTGTTACACGTGTTGATAGTGTTTATAAACAAACTGCCCCGCCCCCTCCTGAGAGAACTAAACGACGAATAACAATTTACATACCACCGAAAATATTTTTGATGTTTTCGAACATCAACGCCATCCTGAAGAGTTCCCAAAATCAGGAACACCAGTAGATGTGTCATTCACCACCATCCAGGAAGAAACTAGACTAACTTTCTGTGAGCACTCCACTTCCTTGTCGGTGTAAACAACGGCGATTTTCATTGGTCAAAAGTTTTACGATTAACCATACAATATCGCCGTTACATCGAAATTATATTTATCTTATGCTATCTGTTTAAAGAAAATAAGATTAAGTGGAAGGGTTGTGTGCTGCACAGAACATTAAGCCAATGACGAGTTATCGTTCTTCTGAAATAAAATTGTGTAACAGTTACACAACGTAATGACCGCTCAGACTTAATGTCTAAATTTATTTGTTTTCGTTTATTGAAAATTTTTATATTGATGTGTATTTCATGACGAGCCATGTTGACGTTTGTTCACGAAGCAATCCGTCATTTGATCTAATGTTGACTTGATAACGATCACCGTCTCCTTTCATTTAACAAGGAGATTTTTTCAGGCATTAACTATATTTAACCAGTAACCACAGTCTGCAAATTATATGTATCCGACATTGTTTTTCAGTGAGCACCTTATGTAACGTCGCCCACATTGATAATAAAAAACTATACTATATACGTTTCTGATTACAAGATTTAAAAAAAATTATTTCAAGTCTTGTTTTAAACAGGAAACTTTTTAAATAAGCTCAATAGAGCTATTTTTACAATGCAATATCAGTCAAATAATAAACACAAAAAAATACAATGAATTAATGGTAAAACAGCTGAATCATGCAAACAAAACAGAAAATGGCGTTGCAAATGTTTTTAGGAGTGTACGCTTTCAAGAGAGGGTCCCGGTAGGGTAAAAACTTAACAGGAAAAATCAGAGTCTATGGAAAATATATAAATGGAATTCGAGTGTATGCTTAGGTATATAAGATTGTTACACCTCTGCAGAATATCGGCATAATTAGATTATTGAGACGCGTGTCTCTTACATCGCCTTTCGCAGATTTCGTTGATAGGTAACACACGATTCATTTAGATCACTAGGCATTGATGGGTAACACACGATTCATTTAGATCACTAGGCATTGATGGGTAACACACGATTCATTTAGATCAGATAAATTCCTTGATAGGTAACACACGATTCATTTAGATCACTAGGCATTGATGGGTAACACACGATTCATTTAGATCACTAGGCATTGATGGGTAACACACGATTCATTTAGATCAGATAAATTCCTTGATAGGTAACACACGATTCATTTAGATCACTAGGCATTGATGGGTAACACACGATTCATTTAGATCACTAGGCATTGATGGGTAACACACGATTCATTTAGATCACTAGGCATTGATGGGTAACACACGATTCATTTAGATCACTAGGCATCAATGGGTAACACACTTGATATAGACCAGAAAAAAATTAATTAATGGGTAAAGTAATGCACGTTTGATTTAGATCTGGATGGTAGGACTTGCGTCGTCCTTCGCAAGCTTCGTTATATATATGGATAACAAGCGGTTAATATATATCAGGATTGTAGAAATTCCATCGCCTGTTGAAGTATTCTATCTAAAAGTATGTTCCAGTGGCAATTTTTCTCAAAATGTACGCAAATACTGTAGGTCTAAAGAAATGTCTTTAAAGTGTACCCTGAGGGGTCAGCTATGTTGACCTTGAAAAATAGTTCTGCACATAAAATACACTATGCCGAAAACGCGAATGCCGTGGAATGTTCGTTTTCGGGCACCCAAACCTGTGACGTCATAAGTTCAACGCTTTTGTTGATGCAGCCATATTGTCTTTACTGTGCTACATGTGATTGTGATCTATTTTGGGATTTTCCGTGGTAATTTCTTTGTTTATTTACGTGAAAGTACTTCACATCTTCGCAATATCTAAGGTAGTGAACGAGGGGTCGGTGAATTAGCGCTTAAATCCGCTAAAATGGCTTCCTATCGAGGAGGGAAGCGGTGTGTATGGTTGTCCTAACACTAACACGGATGGGGTGTCGATGCATGACGTCGATAAATAAAACTGATTGTTGATTAAATAAAAGTATATTTGTTAGGTTGATATTTTGTTATTAATTCTACAACTAAACATTTTAAATTGATAGGCTAGCCTATGACTTGGGCGGTCATAGGAATATTAGTTCTTCGTAATTGTGAACGCCTAATACTCGGAGAAGGCCTAGTCGTGAATGGGTCACGGGAATTTTCACCCCGAAAATTTTCATACTACTATTATATAGTATAGAATAGAATTATTAGAATTTATAGAATAGGTTATGTGTGTATGTTGTTTGTATAAGGTGTATTTGGTTTTTAGATCTTCCAGCAGACGATGTTGTTTAGTTATTAATTTTGCGATCGTAAAAATAACAATAAGATCACCAATTTTGATTTGAAAACACAGTTCACAGTGTAGAGATGTCATCTAAACTCATAATCACACCTGTGCCAGGTTAGGTAATTAGCACCTCTGTAGCTGGAAAAAAACAATTGTGACACCTGTGAGGCGACACGCCTGTCGGCTTACAACAGACGCGTACCAGTGCTAGGGTAAAAACCAGTCAAATAATTGTTTAAACTTCTAAAACATAATTTTTTTATTATTAACACAGCGGAGGGTGTTATAATTGGTTGTTGACACCCTATCTATATATATCCATAGTGTTACGAAAATTCCCTGGAAAGAAAAATTCCCCTCGGACGAAACTTCTTCGGTAAGAAAATTCCTCGTGAATGTATGCATAGTCTTGCACAAACGCGATTTCCCGACGTCAGAAATTGTTGATCGAGACTTGAAGATAGTAAAATTAGTCCAAAACCACACCCAATTTTATTTTGTTTCTTTGAAACGACGATTCACTGTTCGACTACTTTCACGACTACTGGTGAGACCCAGTGAAGTACGTGCCAATCTATGTTGCCCAAGCGATCGTCACTTTTCGAAGGGTCATTTTCCTCCTCACTGGATACATCGTCTTGTAATTCCAGTTCAAATCGGTTGGGCTGGATTCCGTCTTCAGACATATCATTCACACCATAATCAGACTCCTCAAAACTCATGCTCAAATCGCTCTCAGTTGCGGTGTCGTTGTCACTGTCAGTCATGTTGACTGCCATTTCTGTTGAACTTATGACGTCACGAGTAGAAGAGCCTCGATTCCGCGGAAATGACGATTCGGCTGATTAGGTCTTGGCGGACAGGTGAAAATCGACAACTTTGAGCTTTAATAACTCGACACTGGGGCGACGGATTTTGACGGGATTTTCATTATTATTATTTTTACGGCATTCTTAACATTATATCTAAATATAAAAATTACTCTCAGGGTACACTTTAATTTAACTCAAAGTTCAGATGAATCTCGTTCTGTCAGAATGGCCTTTTGAATCAGTGTCTGATTATCGTTCGGAAAAAAAATTGTTCTTGGTGTTTTTAGTGTTGACCTTAGTCGTCCTAATTCTCACCTTGAAACTTTAGCTTTATATTATGACCTTCGTAACATTATTCTTTAGAACCTACTCTTGCTACATCTACCTTAGCCTCAATTTTGGATCCTATTTTCACCCCTAATGATATCAAATGTCTCGATAGTGGTGTGTTTGGGGAAGATAATGTGATATAAGCGATCATAAGGCAACATACTTGTGTGAGACATTCTCATATAATTATAAGTGTGCAGATAACATATCGTTTTGAATTAGAGAGGACCAGATTTTGACCTTTTAAATAACTTAATTCGCAATGATAATTGGCGTGAAATGATTTTGTCTGTTCCGTCCATTGATTCTGCTACTGACAACTTTACCAGTAAATGTTTGGATTTAGCGTCTGTCTGTATTCCAAATTGTGATGTGACTCTATGTCCGCGGACAAACCCTGGTTTGAGCCAACATTACGTAAGCATTGTCAAATTCGTGAAAGACAGAGAAAAAGCTTCTTTATACAGAACACTGTATCGAATGGAAAACATTAAAAAAAAAAAAAAAAAACAGAAATAAAGTCAATCTCGAGTCAAATGTTGATAGATAAAGGAAACCTAAATCTCAATTCTTCTGCAAAATATTTGAAAGCTTTAAATCAACTACACAAAAATTACTTCCTGCTCTTAATTATGTTGATTCTGGTGTTCTGAAGATGCTGAAGTTCTTAACGACTATTTTGCTACAGTTTCTTACATTGATGACTTAAATGTAACCTTACCTATTTTTGATGGAAATGTGCGAATTCTTTAAGTGATGTTGTTATTAATGACAGTTGTTTATAATGTTTCGTCAGTTTTTTATATTTGCAAAGTAGTTGGACCAGATAAACTTAGTAATCGGATGCTGAAAACTACAGCAAGAACACCATGTTTTCCTTTATCCCTGCTATTTAATTGTTCCAAGCATGGCTGTTCTTTTCCTGCTGCGGTGAAAAAAGTTTACGTTTTACTTTTACTTCATAAATGTGATACACATCTTCCGTTAAACCAATATCAGGATTAATTTGTGTTTCAAAAATAATGGAAAATGCGTATTTAAATATATATATATAATTACAAGGGACAACGATGATTTTCATAAATACCACTCTGGGTTTTCCCCAGGTCATTCGACACTGTTCCAGCTGATCGAACTGATTCTGCAATTGACAGGAAATAGTATTCGTGTGTTGTGTTTTGTGACATTTCTAAGGCATTTTATAAAGTATGACATAAATGATTATTATTCAAACTCCGTCAGTATGGTATTGTAGGAAACTTACTCTTCTGACTATCCATTAATCTCACTAACCATAAGCAATCTGTTACTGATGGGAATACTGTTTGTTCTTTTAAATGTGTATCTGTGGGTGTACCCACACGTCGTCAGCAGACTTACAAGTTATTGAACAGAACCTAATTCATGACATCCAACGTTTACAAGATTGGTCTGATCAGTGGCTAATTCAGTCCTGCAAAAGCGAAAGCTGTGTTGTTTCCTTTCAGACCCCTTGATGTAAAATCAAAGCATACTGTAATAGTAAACCACTTTCCCTGACGCACATTGCCATTTTACTGTGTTTCTCAGTAGT